GTGAGTATTATCATAAATGCACTGATTTTTTCCCAAACAGAGCCGGCGTGTTTATGACCCCTAGAAAAAATGAAGAGTCTAGAGATTATTTTAATGACCTTTCTTCACTTCTAAAAGCATTATTTTGAAACAATTTGCCGACTGTAACAATAGAAATAATAATTGTATTTCCAGCTTATTCCTAGTTACAATTAAGATACTTAAACCTTACTGGAAAAAATGCGTAAACGGACATTTGTCACATATTTTCGCGACCTGTTTTTATTTATTTCTTTGTTGAACAGGAAATATATAATAATAATGAAATAAAAAACAAACCATCGTTGAAGATGGTTGTGCTTCCCTGCAGGAAATTATTTGTTTATGCCCTCTAAAAGTTTTAAAATATTGTTTTGAAAAAATGCATGGTAGCAAGTCCCCCCCCCCCCAGACAGTTCAATACCCTAGTATGAAGAAACAATATTTTTATATCACCATTAATCTATGAAATTATGTAGTTATATTAGAATATGATAAACAAGATCAACAAGAAAAGATGATGTTCAATAAGCCTACATCATGTCTGTATTTTAAAATAACACATTACTGACTGTATTTTTAAATCACAATAAGATACCTCAAAAAATTTATTTGAAACAGAAATCATGTTTTCTGTTTGTTTTTGTTTTGTATGTGTGATTTAATCTCTAGATTTCTGTGCATGTATAGGAATTATTGGACCACTAAAAAGTTGTCTTAAGGCCACCAAAATTTATCGGTCAGTGGTCCAGGTGACAGCCTGGCTAAAATGGTTTGTCTTTGACACTGCCTAAGCCTATACTAGAGAATCTGAATACTGGTCCATTAAAATAAATCCCACATGATGATTTGCAAAGAACAAAAATAGCACAAACAGTGTCATACTTTAAGCACTAACCTGAATACATTGCCTTAATCTCAGTCATCGAATTTAAGATTTTTGAATCGTTTTGAATTTATTCTACTATATATTTAACTAAATTCTCTTAAAATTTACACTGGTCATGGGCCACCAGGCCAGTGCTAAATTTGATGACTGTAATCTGTTATTGTATTAGGGGGCAGGACGTGAAGTGGTTGAACACGCTTGAACAAGATATTTTTGTTGCCCCACTTTAGTGACGGGCATTTAGATTTACCCTTGTCCGTCCGTTCTCTTTTGTGTCGGATGTTAAACTCAAAGTATTTGACCTAGAGTCATGAAACTTTACAGGAATGTTGATCAGCATGTGTAGTTGTGCACCTGGGTATTTTTGTCTGGATTTATATAGTATTTTTAGAGTTATTGCCCTTGACTAAGTAAAATTTTGCAATTTTCAACTTGTGTCGCATGTAACTCAAAATGGGTTTGACATAGAGTCATGAAACTTTGCAGGAATGTTGATCAGCATGTGAAGTTGTGCACTGGATATTTTCGTGTGGATTTATTTTATTTTTTAGAGTTATTGACCTTGACTTAGAAAATTTTTGCAATTTTCAACTTGTCGCATGTAAATCATAAAGGATTTGACATAGAGTCATTAAACCTTACGGGAAGGTCGGTCAGCATATGTAGTTGTGCACCTTGGGTTCCGCTTGTGGATTTATCCCGTATTTGTAGAGTTATTTCCCTTGACTTCGTAAAAACTGTTTCATTATGTTGTGTTATTTGTTCCTTGAGTGCTTGAGTTAGAATCAACCAACTTTACAGAAATAATGATCAACATCACTAAATTACAGGAATAACAATGATAATAAATAATAATAAAAAAAAATACACAGTATATTTTCATTAGTTTGCCTTTTTTGGTGAACTTCAAAACTTACACATGTGAATAAATGAGCATAAAAACCGCCCTGGATTTTCACTTATCAAATTTCAAAATATGTACATGACCAGTTTATAACTTCAATAGCTTTGTTTAACCAAAAGCTACAAATCTGAGGCCCAGAACAGAGTGTGTCATAAACACTTCCTTCATGAATGGCCATTTTAAAAAAAATCAAATAACATACAAACCCACTTACCTGAAAAAATATGTGAGAGTTTTGTAAATATTTAAGACACAGAAACCATTTTGTCAAGTTTGCAATGATTTTACTCGCTTGAACCAAGTGTGCATCCACTTCACGTCCTGCCAAGTGATTTGTATTTATTTCGTATTCAAATATCTTGGTATATTTCCATATGTAGAGAAATGTATTTGTTTGATTTCAGTTAAGAATTGGTACCACAAGGCCACAAAAGGAGGAGTACAACTAACTTGTGGATGATGTTCAAAGCTGAGGAGAGTGAGAGCTTAAATCTATAAAACGGGTCAAAAACTTTTGATATAGAAACTGTCATAAATTCTTCAGTTAATTGAAAGAGGGCAAGTTGTACAAAATGCCATGGAGCTAAATATACATGGAGAAGAAACTGTGATGTCACACAGTTAAATTCAGTATTGGCAAAATTGTGTTCTTATAAGTTATCATATGTTGCGGGATTTTCAGAGATTTGATGCATCCTGGGTAAAAATAGCCAAAACACCGTCATATTGAATTCCCGGAGGAAGATGAAACATTTTTTTTGTTTAAATAAGAAGCAATAGTTATTTATTGTAAAAGGTACTATACACACTTTTCTATACAAATATTTCTCTGATGAAAATCTATGTTGGGGTATGTAAACAATAATTCATGGATATCGTCCAAGTTTAACGAGAGTGCGAAAATTGGAGACTAACGAGAAAAACCCAATTATCACCGAAGCCTGCAAAGGATTGTGGGTCTGAATCTGACTATTATCTATTTTTAGAGCTTTCTATCTGTTGTATATATATATATATATCTGTGAAAATGCAAAGAAGTCGTTGGATTACCAAAGATCAACATTTCATTTGATTACCAGTGATCATCAATTCAGTGGATTCTGAGATTCTCAGTATGAAAAATTTGATGACAAGAAAATTATTAAACCGGCAAAAATTGGATCTTACAGCAAGGATTTACTCATTTCAGAAGACAGCAATAGAAAATGTAGGAGTTGCATGTAATTCTGGAGGTTTCTTGCGTCATGTTTTGTACTGTTTAAGTGACGTTTCTTAGACTGTTTAAGTGATGTCCCGCATTCAATCAGTTAAGAAAATGATGAAAGCAAATTAAAATCTAGGAGAGACCTAGTCAAGTATTATAATGTTTTAACTTTTAGTGCTAAATTCAAAGAGGTGTCTCATGTTACACTGTTTTAAAAAAAGGAATCTTAAGTCAAGTGTTATTGCCAAAGCTCATTGCATTCCAGTAACTCCAATGATATATCTAAAGAAGTGTGTCTAAACAATACAAAAACAATTAAACTGTAAGGAAAATACTTTGTTTCATATGCAATCATGCTTTTTATTAAATTTAATAGTTTGCTTATGACTGATGTTGAACTGCTTGTCATTTAACTGGATTTAAAAGTGCACATTTTAGTTCACATCAGTACAATGTGCTTATGTGAAGTATTGTGATTGCCCTGTGTCCAACAGCATCTTGTATTGTCAGCACTTTCTTGTAATGATGTCTTCTACAAAACTGATTACCGGTATTTGATTTTAATCATAATGATCTTTTGGTGGCCCTAGTAACAGTAATTCAGCTGTGGTCCAGTCATACCCAGTTGCTAGGAATTTCCAGTACAATGCAATCCTAGGCTATTCCAGCCATTCCTTAGATCATGGAAATACCAGGAACGCCTGGGATATCCAAGTTCTTTGAAATGCCAAGGAATTACTAGAAAAAATGTTCCAAATACCGTGGCAGGCTTCGCGAAACTGCTGAAAAATTTGCCTGACATTTGGTCAGACAAACTTTCAATTCTTGTCTGACCGAAAGAACTTTTGTCTGACCGAATTTTTTCCCCCAAATATATGTATATGGTAATACCTTGGTGTTTTTTTTAAAGACATAACATCTTTTAAAGATTTGCAACACAATTTTATTCCCTTAAATAAAACATTAGTTTATCCAGATTGATGGACTCACAGGCGCTAGTCACATATTCAAATATTTTACATAACCAGTCTATATATGTATATAAAGATATATAGTAATTATAGCCCATATAAAACTTTAAAAAGTTTGTTTCAAGCACCTGTGGATGGACTCTGTTTGGAAATCAAAACATTCATGATTGAAGCGGCCATTTTTCCATTTACCCACAAATCTTCTCTGTGGGCGCCTGGACTCGTATTCCTTTTGTTTCGCTTTTTTTTTCTTCATTGGATAGTTTACGATTTTTGCCGGGCGTAGCGCCAGCGTAATAATGTAGTAACACCGACATTTTGGTTATTGACAGTCGTATGTATCGGACACTTATAATTAAACGGCGAATCAAAACTCGTTTTACATTTTTTTATTCAAGGGAGAAAACTCGGTCTTGATATAGGTCTTGGATATATCCCGGTATTCGTACCGGACATAAGGTCCGGAACTCCGTAAAAAAATATCGGACCGGCCTGATTTTTGCCGGACATGTCCGACGGTCCGGCAACTTTCGCGAAGCCTGCCGTGGGCAGGTCATTCTCAGTCATTCCTAAGATTATAAAAATACCTGGAGTTACTGGTATTATCATAGGTCTTTGAAAGGCCTTGAAATGCCTGGGATTGACTAGAAAAATGTTCCAAATACCGTGGGCAGGTCATTCTCAGTAATTAGGATTTTCAAATACAAGTTGATCTAAGGCATTCCTGGTTTCACATTTTTTTCTAGTTATTACCAGTAGTTTTCAGTCGTTCCAATTACCGCCAGCCAGTAACTGGAAATTCCTCAGATTTCCTTGCATTTCCTAGAAATTATCCCTGTAAATATTCCTGGGATTTCCCAATAAAATCCTAGTAAAATCCTGGTAAATTACCAGTAATTTCTGCAAGGGCACTGAAGTCCTGACCCATGCGACAGCTGCTCTCTCTAGAAAACAAGAGATCCATCAAGGCCTTTAACTACATTCTACATTTATCTAGAGATAAATTTTGTCTACCTGTTTGAAGCTTGAGTAATTTTTCACTCAGGTCAGTGAGTTCATTTTTGGCCGACTCTAAATTCTTCTCCAACCTTTTCTTGCCTCTGGAAAAAAATTTTAATATCCAATTACTGCACATGTATACATACAATTTGTATTTATATTTCTAAACAAATTCAAAACTTCTTTCCAATTAATACAATTAATCCAATGATTTTGTAATGATTCTACTGGCGAAATAGGTGCTTATAGGTACTAATCAACAATTATTTTATATTGTTGTTAACAATGTGAATGTACAATCAACTTAAACTTAGAAGTTCACCTTTTTCTTCTTTTTTTTTTCAATGACCATGACTACGATAAACTATTGTAATATAAAACACTTTATATATCTTATTTCAGATGTACATGTATAATAAAATATCAGGGAAATTTTTATTCTAAATTACGTACAATTTAAATTGTGTCCTGCAACCATAAAAACTCATATGAACAATCATGTATTGAGTAAATAATAAATATTGAAACAGGTACTTTAGCTTTATCTGCATAATTATGTAAATAAAAAACGCTGTATTATGATGACCTGTGCCAGGAATGACATTTATATTACCCTTAATTTACAAAATGGACTTGTAAAACTTTAATTTTGAATCAGCACATTGTAAGTATAAGGGTTTTCAAGATGAAATATTAATATTGAGCCACCACCACATTCAAGTGTGGTCAAACTTAAAGATTAAAAGTATGGTCAGACAACTCTATTTGGATGGGAAGGCTGTTCTGCCTCTAAAACATGTGGAATAAGGTATGTTTTCATTATCTCCACAATCAGTTTACTGTAGTAAACTAGTTTCTAAATTGTGAAGCAAAAGATAATAACTTCTTAACTGTAAAAAAAAAGAAAATAGTTTCTAAACTGTAAAAAAAAAAAAAAAAAAGTTTCTAAACTGAGAATAAGTTTCTTTAAAACTGGAGCAAATGAAAGGTTTGTTACTAAAATATACAAATTACACTTCATGATTGAAGGACACTAGAATTCACAGTTCCTAAATTACTGTAAACATTATAACTGCAACTTGAAACAATTTATACAAAATAAATATAAGAAACACTAAGAAAATAAAGAAATGTTAAAATTCACATAAACCAAAATACATGTACAACACAAATACTACACAAATTTAAACAAGTCAATATTAAATAAACATTAAAAAATTTGTGAGAGGAAAAAAAATTAGCAATTTTGTTAGATGGCTTTTCCTCGTTTCAAACTTCATTACATAGAATCTTGAAAAAAAATATTTTAGATGAGTAAACTGAATGTATTCAGCATTTAACTCAAAGGAAACAAATGAAACTACCACAAAACCTGTAACTTACTGCAGCATTCTATACAAGATTTAAAATATGAACATAAATATATGAACATGTATACTATAAAATACTTGATACCCAACATGATACAAGATAAGGTAATTAAACACCATCACAATAGATAAAATTATAATAATATGGGTAAAAAAAATATGTTAAAACAATTATTGAGCCACGCCATGACAAAACCAACGTAATGTGTTTCCGACCAGTATGGATCCAGACCAGCCTGCACATCCACGCAGTCTGATCAGGATCCAAGCTGTTCGCTATCAGTTTCTCTACTTATAAAAGGGTTGGTAAGCGAACAGCATGGATCCTGATCAGACTGTGTGGATGCGCAGGCTGGTCTGGATCCATGCTGGTCTCAAATGCATTATGTTGGTTTTGTCGTGACACGGCTCAATTACTTGTATGTATCAAACTTGTTATTTGTAAGAGACTAAATACAAAAATAACTTCCATTGAAACACTAGAACCCTGCTTACTGCTAATTAATGATTAACTTTACTAAATGGTTGGGATTTAATGTTTTCTTTAATTCTTTTATCTATGGTTTTGTTTTAAATCGCATTGACAGAGTAAAGGTCATATAATGACCTTTTCGCACTTTACTGGTGGAAGAAGAACTCTGTTGCCCCTCTTCATAATTTCAGCCACATGCAGGCACCTTTAGTAGACCCACTGATCTTCTCATATATAGCTATCTAGAAAATAGCTTTGTCATATGAAATAATTCAAAACACAGCCCCAAGGGGGAAGTGGTTTGAAGTCAGAGTCTATAATCACTTCACCATTCAGGTCAAAAGTAATTAATCTGATTAAAGCACATCCCAAAAGCCAATTTATTCACTACAAACCCCCAGTAAATAACTATGACCCTAATTTTTAGGTAATCAAATCCTGGATAGAAGAACCTTCTCCTATCAGAACAGGTGGTAACAGCTGAAAGTCCAATGACTCATTTCCCTGTTTCCCCCTCATTTCCCCAAAGTTTTCAGGTTTTTTCTGGCCCATTTTGATAACCGATTATTATTATTATTGTCATTTTGTTGCATTTAACTGCACTGTGCCATAGCAAAATTAACATCTTGTATTCTAAATTATAATAATTATTTGTTTATATAAAAAAAGAATTAAATTAACAAAATATTTAATATCTTTGTCTTATCTAATTAATACAATATGTTGTTAGTTTTTTTCCAATTTGCTTAAAACATTGTAAAAAAATCCAATTCTAGGGGTTGGGTCATGTTCCAAAGAGCTACGAAAAAAACCTGGATTTTGGTTCACAACTGACTGAAAAATTAGCAACCATAGACACATGTATATAAAGTTCACTTCAGTCTGGGCTGAATTAAATCAAACATCCTATCACCCTTAATATATTCACCCTGGACTACAACAGATACCATAAACATTCTAATTAAGGAAACATATAGTGTTTTAATTGTGAATAAAACATTCTAAATAGAATTAATACATCACCAATGTTTCATGTGACTACTACCACAAACAACAATAACAGAAGGTATAGACAAACTTTCCAGCAGTTTTGTATGTTATAATTTATAAAAAGTGCATTATTTTTAAGAAATACGGTAAGAATTTTATTTTTTGCATTAGAGGATGCAATATAATACTCCCATTGAAAGTTAGAAAATAATTATGCTGTTCACAGCTGGTTTTCTCTCAGACAACAAAATACAAGTAAGTTCTTTAAATTTCATAAAAAGGAAATATATTCAAAAAAAAATTGAACTTGTTGATTTGTCATTAATGACAAACCATTCTAACAATTATTTCTGCAAAAGATAATAAAAAGATGTTACAAAATAATTTTTTAAAATATGAAATAACAAGAAATGGTACAATTTTTTTTTTTATTTTTAAGATTTTCTTGAATTTTCACTACCGCTGGAAAGTCTGTGTAAAACCATGTGAAATCTACTTTTATTTAAAATTGTCACATTGTGATTGGAGGTTGAACACCATGTGACTTGGTCATGTGATCTAGTCATGTGACACTTACTTTTCATATGAAACTAATCCACTCCCTGCTCTGTGGTGTGCAAGAAATAAATGTGCAATAAAAGTAATAATATATTTTAACTTTAATAAAGTTGTACTGACTCGTTCATTTGTTTTGTGTTTTTTTTACACCAATTTCAACACATTTTTGGGTGGGTTCACCAAACTGGATTTCCTGGATAATTAACCAGTAATTACCAATTACCAATTATTTCACAAATGACAGAATGATCTTTTAAGAATCAATGTCATTAAATCAGCCAACTATTATCCATGCCCGTGATATTTATGCCATTCTGAATCAGCCACCGTTGATGGGTAGCATATAGCGATTGTAACCAAAATTTCTCAAGAAATCATTTACATGTACATAGTAAAAAAGTGCACCTATCCCATGCAGTGAGTGCTCCATTCAATGGATCTCATCAACTCTTGAATATGTTACATTTTCATTTTTAGTTTCCTTAACTTTTAAAATACATATTTCCAGTATCACCACCAAAGTACTTTTGTGCAAAATAAAACATTCATCACATTTAAAGGTACATTACCAGAACATAAACCACAACAAATTAAAGGTATATATAGAGAGTTGAGCACAAAACTGTTGAAAGTTCTTCTTTATTTTCATATAAGTTACGGCAGTTTTGCGGTCAACCCTCAAATTACTTTTATGACGCAAACTGTGAAAAATCATGCATGTTAACATGCATTCTTTTGTTTGCCATAATGTGTTCGCTAGACAATGTCTTTCTTTACAATAGCGTATTATTTGACACCAGGTATTGAAAATAACTGTGAACTCCAACGAAGATTACAGTAATATCTTTTTTTAACCTGAGCGGTGGTTTATGCGAATTTATGATTTTTGACAGTCACATCCTCGAATTCAAAATAGCGCGAATATTTGTAAAGACCCAAAAAATGGACCTTTCTGCGAATTCAAATACACATACAGTACCTCCTAATCAACTTACTTGTTGCTGGCCTTAGTGTTAGCATAATTAACCAGCCACTCTATAATATCCTGGTTCAAATCACTCAGCTTCTTTGCCAGTTCCTCGGCATTGGACAGTGATTCATGGACCTTGTTTGAGGCCTCCTCAAGGTCAATCTCTGGTTTGTCCTCCACTAGTTCATCCTCATCTAGCTTAGAATTGTCCAAGAAAAACTGGAAACATAAATATAATGTTTATTGTCTAGATTGGTATACTTAGGGAAAAGCTTTTGATACCTTCATTCATTTATAACTCGATGAGAATAAAAATGAGATCACTGATAACTAAAACATTATAACTTGTAAAATATCAGTTTGTATAGACTTCCTACTGAAATAACCTAGAGCTAAAGTCAGGCAATAAAGCTACCTAATTTACAGGACTAATACAATTAATCACATACCCTAATCATATACTTATTTTGCCACTCCGTAAAAATGGTATTGCACGACAGTGCATTTATTTTGATGTAACGTCATTTTTATAATATAAACATAGCGTTAAGATGCACTTAATGTTAGCGTTTTACTATAGGCACGTCCATGGAAAATGTTTCTTTTTCACTTCAAACGATATTTATTTATGGTATTATGATAAATAGAACATTAAATTTGTGTAAGTTTAATACTATATTTATTGAACTCGTTGAATAAAGTAATATTATGCTCGCCAAAAGCAGGCAAAACATAATTTTATTCAACTCATTTAATAATTTGAGTATTAAACATATACTCATTTTATATCTTCTATATAGAAGATTCAGACTGTGTGTACCTGATTAACTTGTTGTAGAAGCTGCATTTTCTGTGCGCACACATCTTGGAAACCAACAACAAACACCGTCACCTGTTGTTGATATTTCTTCTTCTTTACAGTGTCTGTAATAATCTCTTCTAGTTCTTTCTGTAAACATAACAAGATCACATGACCAAATCACAGCCAATCACAAGAATTTTAATATTGTATTATTATACATGTTATTGTGAAGAAAACTGAGATGGGATATTTATGTACTTAAATGGCAATGGTTAATATTTATCATTTAAAGGTTGATTAACTCTTACATGTCCCTTTAAAGGAACTCCACTGAGGTCTAATAACCTTAAAATACGAATTTCCAAATTTTGCTTAATTCAGCTGTGGCATTTAAAGCAGAAGGATATGCAAATGATAATTACAAAATACACTAAGAAATGAATAGAAAGTTGTATTTTTGTGCTATTCTTAGCCCAATTTGAGTAAAAAGCATTGCAATGCTTTTCAGTTTAGGGTCATTTTGAACAATAAAAAAAATGTTCCTGATAAACAGAGTGAGCGAATTAAATTTTACAAACACGCTTTTAGTCTAGACCTACATCAAATGGAATATAAATCTCGAATAATTATTTCCAGTCCTGTCATGTCAAAAAACCTCAGTGGAGTCCCTTTAAGCATCATTTGAAGCATTAACAGGAGTCAGAGTAAAACCACCAGCCATCTGTAAATCTCTGTAAATCTATATCTGGACAGCTGCCTCAAATGTCAATAATCCCTGGCAAGGATCAAACTAACAGTGATGAGTGATGAGTGACAATTAAAAATCATTAACCAAATTAGCAAAAGAGACCTGTCATGTGCAAAATTGAGCAACTGATTAATTAAGATAAAATACTTACAATGTCCTCAATGTATTCTACATTAGGAGAGCCTCTTGGATCACCAAACATGGTCTGGGTAGACATTTCATAGGACACATAGATCTGAAATGGTAAAGAAATGAAATAACAAGACAGCATCAGAATTAAATAATCCTTTTCCCTGCTAAAGATCTTTCATGGACATGTCCTTTTTATAATCTGGACAATGTCATTACAATTTGTCAATTTAAGTGAAAATTTCAAATAATGAACTGACCTAATAGCAAACAGTAAAGGCCATGATCAGTCTGCAATTGTTACATCATTAGATTCTGTATGTGCCAGCAGCCAAACTTCACTTGAGAATTAAGGCAGCTGTAACTTGCAAACATGGAAAATTTCAAAGTCCACAGCAAGATTCAAACCTACATGTACAGCAGTGAAGATCAAATTATTCTTGGCCAGTTGGTCCTCTATTAAGAATGGTGCCCATAGAGATTAAGTTATAAGTTAAAGCTTACATTGTCCACCCTGTCCATAACTTTGTCCAGTTCTTCTTTAGTCTCATCTGCCACTCTCTGTGCCAGAGACCGGGTGTTCTTGTCAATGATAGCCTTTGCCGGGGCATCCCCTCGGTCAATGATCGATATACTTCCAACATAATTCATCTTTCTTGTCAATCGGGCATCACAATTTCACTTTCATATCAGTACAGTCTGAAACAAAAGTTATAACTTGCCTAATATTTCTAAAAATACAATTTTCATTACCGCAGTGAAATGAAACAAAATTTTACTTTGATTTGATTTGCTGCTTTTCTTATGTATGGTAATGTGACAAAGTTTGACTTTATATTACTATGACTTGTATGGGGAATGGCGACTTAATTGCGGTCATCAAATGTCAACTTAGAAATATTCACACTGAGCCTCTTACATTTTCTCTCAGTAAATTAATGTGCTTCAAATGGTATAATTTTTTGCAGAAAAATAACTTGCAGCAGTATGATCTCGTGTCAGGATTGTCTAAAACCAAGTCTTCCTGTTAAACTGTTGTGATGCCTAAGCATTGGATGTCTCACATATAGTATATCTGCACACATAAAAATCACCCTTGTCTAGAATTTCATCAGTTTAAACAAGATTACCTGTAACTTTACAATCAAGAAAAAATAAGCAATAAAATTTATTTTATTTTGACTTTTGTGGTATTTCTAACATAATATATCCACCTCTTGTATGAGGGCACTGTGGACCAGCATCAAGTCTGAATTAGGGCAGCACCTTAGAGGCTGTGAACCCTTATAATGCGAGATAATCAGATGCATAAGCAAACTGGCATTAGGTTTAACAGTCCATGCATACCTAAAATGCCCTAACATGAAGTCATGAAAATTAATCAATGTAACATAATGTTATTATATATTGTTATAACTGCTTTAAAAGACTATGCCTAATTATTGATCAACTGTCATGCAAATTGAAGCAAACATAAGACCAATCTTAAAGTATAGTATTTAAAGGTAGCTGCTTGTCCCATTAGCTATTATGTTAAGCATGCATTTGTGTATACAAAGGCTTGTAATAAATCATTCTTACATAGATAATAAAACAATTTATTGCCCTAATTTTGAACATGTTTATTTGACACCTTAAACTGTTAAAGGCAAGGGAATAGCAGAGGAAATTAGATTTGATCTCTTTTCTTTAATTCCCAACAGTCATAGTCGCACCTATTACCTACGGGCGGAGGGTTGTGGTTAAAACTAACCAGCACATAATGTGTACCCTCTTTTATTATATTACCCTAATTGATTCAATTATGCTCACTTATAATTACTTGTGACAAAGCGAATTTTAAGTTGAAACGAAATATTTTTACTACTAGTTACGACATCCATGAATCCGTTATTTTCCTTGACCAAAATACAATGTTTACGTTCCAAAAAGGGGTTTGACATTGATTTGAAAACAATAAACAAAAGTTATTTATAGCCGCATCATTTCCGTAGCCAATTAAGCGACCTATTTAGGTAAATATTGAACAAAATATCTCAATATTTACTTTGACAGTGGCTAAGACAGTTGATATCCATTAAACAAATAATAAATACGATAAATGGCTAACTGACATTATTCATTAAGCGTTTTGAGTCAATATTTACTTTAAATAGTGCAGGAAATCAATGGTCGTCGCCATTTTGGATAAAACGGGCACTTGATTGGTGCACGTGACCTGTTGCTATAGACAACACCAAGCACAGGATATGGCTAAAATTATATCGATATCGATATGATCTCTACGAAGCAAATGTAGTAAATAATTGCAGTATAAAAACACTTTGTAAGTCAAATGTTTATCATCCCTCTAGGCCAATAAATTGTACTAAGCGTTTTAAAATATATTATGATGTTTTATGTATCATCCAACCTTTCAAATACACAGAACATACGGGGAGTTTAATTTAGAACTACACTATATCTTTATACATAAATATATACATACATACATTTATACACGTACTTGTAAGTACTTCTTTACCAATTATTAATGTTTGGCATCTTATTTCTCAGTCCAGTTATTTATGAGTAGGCCCTACTTGTATGCTTGTTCAGAAAGAGGCCGCGATCTTGGTAATGTTTTATAAACAGTATTCAAATTTCATTTAGATCTACTTAAAATGCTAACCATTAACTACTTAAAATGCTTTATTAATGTAGAAAATAACGATATCGTAAAGTCGATGTATATAGTTACGTCTATAATATTTTTGAATGACCCTTAAATTTGTGTAATGAAGAAGAACATATTTCAGTAAGAAATGAAGAGTTTCAAAGACTAAAAATGTGTATTTTATTGCTACCCAATCAATCTTTTGTGCACTTTTTAAGAAATAAAATCATCGAAATTTTCATAATGCATCAATACATGATTCTCAATTGGAGACGAATAAAGAAACACTCTTGTAACAACCACACTTATTATCTAACGTTAAAAAGAACGCCATAAAGTAAGTACAGGTAGTAAATTCAAAAATAGAAACAAAAAATATAATTGTAAACAACTGTGAATTTCAAATTCCTTCAGTAAGTTGTACAAATATTTATTTCGCACAACTGATCAAAGTGGTTTCTTTCCTCAGTCCTCGATCAGTAGAGTAACTTTAAATTCTAATAATAACTGAAGAATTGCGGGAAGATCACTGCGATTTTTGAACATTCTGGACAGTCAAACTGCTCTAATACGACTCAATGACCCATAGAATCCTTCCTTAATGATTTAGGTGACAGTTGTTTGAAAGGCACAGAAATTTTAGACATAAAGAAGGCATTTGATTGGGTAGATCACAATATATTGTTACATACATGTAAGTTAAAATTATACAATTTCTCAAACGCTTCACACGCTTTGTCAAATATGGAAATAATCATTCAAATAGTAGAAAAGAGAAATCAGGGGTCCCTCAGGGGTCTATACTAGGCACGGCCTTTATCCTTAATTAATTTAGTTAATGATATGCCATATTTAGTAGAACACACTAACGAAAGCTGAAGATACTTCAATGTAGTATGCATGCATCAGATAAAAACATTGAAGTCATCCAAAGAGCCATGCAATGTGATTTTGATAATATCAGTAAAAAGTGTAAACTCAACAACATGGCAATGAATCCGAAAAAGATCATATTACAACTTGTATGGTAATTGGGTCAGAAAAGGAATTAAAATCCAAACCTTCATTAGATATAAATATAGAAAGTATAGGCCTATGCCTAAGTGAAATTATGAGGTATTTACCTAAAATTATGGAATATTCAAATAAAGCACGTCTGGAAAAAAAATGCAAAAAAATGCTTTCTTATGCATTAATCGTACTTTTTATCCGCTGAAAGTAAAGAAAGAAGAAAATAATTTACAATGCGTATGTTTTTACCATGTTTTGATTATTTTTGTATAATATACAGTATGCCGCGAGTACTTGCAGCAAAACTGAATTTGAAGAAGTGAATAATTACAAATTGCAGAAACGCACAGCGAATATCATATTGTGTAAACCAGTTAAAACGCCATTTGTACAACTTTTCCTTAAATTAAACTGGTTAACTTTTGAAAATACATGCACGTATATATCATACTGTATTATTAGCATTTAAATCTATACAAGGAGTGACTAAATTTCAGATATCCTTAATTACTATAGTAGTGCTCTTAAAAAATGGAACATGTACACTTTAGCATAATACATGTCAGACCTAATACAAATTATGTTAAAGAACTTTAGAAATAAAGCTATGCATGTATGGAATAATTTGCATTTATATATTAAAGAATTTTCGTCACTATATGTTCTTAAAAAGAAAAATGAAAACATACATGTATATTACTTGGTATACGAATCTGATGAATGGATATGTCTGTACATGCACTTAAAAATTATTTCCCTTTATCCATTCATGGTACGGGACTCGATGAAAATAAACTTAATTTATAAGTATTTATATAGGATTAATCACCACTTTCTCTATAGTTCACACTGCTTGCAATTTTCAGGGAGGGAACTTAATGAGCTTCATTTTGTACCCTCCCATTGTTTCTTTACATTACTTACCTCCCTTGCAATTTCCTGAAGAAATAAACTGCATATTGAACCAAATAGTAAACTGCATTCACCTGCGACTGCCATTTGTAGTTTCTAGTGAGAAAAATATTTTTCTAAAACACAACCTCCCAGCCCTGGCTCCATTTCACATGTCACTTTGAATGAAAGAGTTTACTTCTCTTTACATCTAACACCATTTGCAATTCCCAAAAAAGAAACTAAAACTTCCTCACTTTGCCTGTATCTTTAGTGAAGTTTACTATGTTGTGTGTTTTCATACTATCCCTTATTTTACCTGATGCAGGGACTTATAAACTATTTAAATGCAATGCCTGTATGTCACTTGTCCTGAACGTAATTGAGTACTGAACAAACAAGTTACTTCCCTTTGAATTATCAAGTCATTTGCAATCTTTCAGCATTATCTTGGAATATATCAAGAATGAAGTTGAATAAGAACGTAACAAGTTCATAAAATGCATTATATTTATTTATACACTGAAGCTTAACAAAAGTAAACATAACCAATACTTAGAAAATAAAATAAAAATAAATCTATAGTACTATAAAATAAGAAATTCTATACATGAAAAAACATGTATAGACAATTTTAGCATTTTGTTACGGCCATCATTGTTTTTTCATTTTCGACCTGTTCATTAGCAAAGGTGTATGTACACACAATACAAAAGCAGGAAAATATGCTAGAAAATGGTGTAAATATCTCCCACTCTGCTCTGCGTCGAGAAATTTTCAGTACTTTTTGTACCATACACTTCACCATTCCACATGAATTAAGATCGAAGCCTAGAAAAACACAATGGGCCAAACAAAATACCAAATAGACAATAGAAAATAACAATAAAAAGTTGAAAAACACAAAAAAGCAGTTCATTATACCAAGGCAAGACGGTATAGCAGGAAATATGTAGTCGATATATATTTGCATAGTTCTTCTAAAAGCTTTAAATTTGGTGATTATTAATTTGATAAAATGATTGGCAAATGATGCAAATATTATTTTAATGTTTTATCTACTCTGGAAGCTGCAAAGAATGGATCAGATATATACATGGACTTGTATTTACACATATGCTTTTTAAACAATATGTGTTCTATGCGGTAAAAGCTAGTAAGGAATACACAGTGCCAATACACGTGTTGTCACCTACTCAATCATACTGAGTGTAAGGCTCACAGACATAAGAAATGTTAACTTATTGCAGCTAGTAAACCCCTTGCTTCACATTAGAGCAACATTTCTATTATATTTTGTTAGTGTTCTGGTTTTATGCCGAGATATAGTGCACACATTTTTGTATTTGTAACTTGAAAATAAAGTCACATTTGTTGTTATATATATCATAGCTTTACATGCATCATAGATTTATTGAAATTTCACAAGAATTTTTTTTATTATTGTAATAATGTTTTAAATTATTCAAATTATCAAAACATTGACTCATTGTTCTTCCCTCTAATTTCAGGGTTTATAACGAAAAAATTATAAAAATCATGAAAAATGATTAATTATAACAGGGGTAGTAACTCTGTACAACAAGGGAGGTAATTAATTATCAATTAAGGACAATATATAAAGAAGCTTATAAGAACTTAGTTAATTAAATATATTAAGCAATTACACTTATACAATACATATCTACTTATAAATACATGTACTAAACAGATTATTTTCATTACCCTTCAAGATAGATAACAATTTTTTTAATTATATAACCATATATTCTTTATGTAGTAACTCTATAAAATAATTCTTGCTCAAAAGTTTTCTATTTGCACTTAGTATCCAATATTATTTTTTGAAATATTTGAAAATTTGAACATCTGGACTTTGCCTCACATTGTATACAAAAATGTACATAAGAAAGGTATCTAAATATACAAGACATTTTTAGAAATTTGAGCAATGAGTGGCATTGTAAAGAAAATTTAAACAAAGACAAAGCTGTCAAATGTGTCCTTACACAACATGTACAAGGAATTAGAAAAAGAACGTCAACAAAAAATCACAGAAGAAATAAAAGCTATACAGATGTTCTTTAAAAATTATGGACAGGGTATCCTCAAAGGTTGCCAAACATGGCAAAAAATGACAGTGTTCCACTGAAGACTGCCAAATATGGTTCAGGAAAACTTAATACAAGTCTTAGATAATTGTACTTTCAAAATGATCACTTTAATCTACTTCTTCAAATGACTTCACCACAAATGAAACCATTAAGTAATAAAAACTAAAATTATTTTCCCATTACTTTACACTCAATCTGGAATACCAAATTTACATTCATTTTCAATATGGATTTCTTTTTATGTTGGGTCATACTTTTGTCTATGAAATTGGGACTAACGATAACATTTTCAGTCCAAGATGAAATACATGCAGTCAATGTAGCAGAGTATATACATGTATATATTTGTCACCTTAGTGCAGTAATGGGTTAACTTCTTATGTAATTTCATGGAAGTTACCCCATTACTGCACTAAGGTGACAATATTATCAGTACTTCTCAGAAATAACGAGGAAATTTTACTCAAAAATATTTAATAACTAGGAAATTAACTCTGAATTAACTAGAAAATTTAATCAGAAATAACTTGGAAATTTAATCAGAAATAACTTGGAAATTACTCAGAAATAACTAGGAAATTTACTCAGAAATAACTAGGAAATTTACTCAGAAATAACTAGGAAATTTACTCAGAAATAACTAGGAAATTTACTCAGAAATAACTAGGAAATTTACTCAGAAATAACTAGGAAATTTACTCAGAAATAACTAGGAAATACAACACAACATACACAAAGTACAACACCAATGATATGAGTATTGCTGCATGAATTAACTCAACATGTCACAAAATTTAAACACAACTACGGTACCCAATCATGTGTTCTACACATATGCAACACACATTTAAGCCTGCATATGAAAAAAACTAGTCTGGGGGCATAATTTAAAGAGTTGTCTATCCACAAACATACTCCAGTTCTTCTACACTAATAATTAGTTATAAATGGAGAAACTTGACAACATCTACTAAGTGTGTTCCATATACAGTCTATCCTGTATAACAAGGCCATACCACACCCAGGGAAAAATTGTAAGAGTTGTCCGTCTTAACATATAGCCTCTCAAAGTAAATGTGTAATTTTACTCCACCATTATACACAGTAAATAAAAAGTTGGGGGTCTAAAGGGACAGGTGTTTCTATGTCAGGTCTTTGCTCCAAAAGTGGACATAAGCACAGGTGCAACTGTATGTAAAAATAATAAAAGGGTTACAACTCTGCATTAAATAATCCCAGCAAAATACTAATCAAAACCCACAACTTTTATTTCATTGACACACTAGTATTCAAAAATAAGATTTCATTCATTAAATTTTTTCAACTGAAAACAAAAAAGATATGCACACTGTTGATAGGGCGTTTAATAATACCCATTAAAAAAAACAACATAATTGAACATCATTTTTTTGGGACAAATTATAGACAAAAGGACCTTCAAATTATTATGCCTAACTATTTGATACAGAACTTATCTATACATATAATCTGTACATGATTTAAACTATCAACATAATTATACAACTAACATTTCTACAAATACTATTATAAACATTAAGCCAAGAAATTTCAATTAGTCATATACTGCACCTAACACGCAATCATGTATATAACCAAAGAAAAACCCATTTCATTGCTCATTCAAGCTCACTACAAAGTATAAATTTCTAAATTCTTTCGCACTCAAACAGATCTAGCATTTCTGACAAGCAAAACACATGTTCGGACAATATCAAACCCTGATAAATTATCTATATTTTTGTTAAATAATTAATCTGGCAAGTTTTATTTTAACACTATAACAACATTTAATTTCAAACATAATTATATGCAATGATTTTAGCTCAAGTGTGATGTGAACTTGAAATCTATTTGAACCACTCTCAAGTCTTGTTTCCTGGAACTTACCAGTACTGATCTCATATGAGGGAACACTGTTGTGACCCCGGTAGGGCTTGAACCCATAATTCCTGGGTTCAGAGGTACCAACAATACCTTGACCACTAGGTTATCACTAATTTGTACCTTGACCACTGGGTTATCACTAATTTTACAACATTTAGTTTATATATATTTTTTAACTAATCCAAAACCCCAATAAACACAACAAGTGTAATGTTTTTCCTCAACAATTACAACAAGAAATTATAAAACAACAATTTTTTATCTTATCTACAAAGGTATTATCTTTTTGTGTGATAAAGTTTAAAAACAACACTAACTTAACTTATTAAATAAACACCAATTTCACAATTTCATTAAAAAAACAACATTTTATTTGCTACAAAACTATATAAAGCAATATTTTTTGTTTTGCCCATAAACAAACAAGGATAGTCATGGACAAGAAAAAGTAAATAAATAGAAATGGCACTTTACATGTAGATCATTGAATAAAGACATTTCCTAACACTAGCATTGGCAAGACAAGTCTATCTTTACAAGAATGCAACAAAAGCAACAAAAAACCCTAATAATAAAGAATTGGTTTCAGAACAATCTTAAGTTCATCTAAAGTACTAATATAATATGATAAGCAAACAAGTAAATCAGTAAGAAAAACAAAAATATTGGCAAACACCTATGAATGCCACCCAATGTCCCATTCATAAAGCAAAAAAACAAAAAACAATTAGAAAAATCTATTTTTAGCATCAATGACCTTGACCCAATTAACACAAAATAGCATTAAAATTAAGTCTTTTGAATGGAAAGTGCTAACATAAGTACCAAAACAAACCTTGGGTAGCATAAAAAAATAACCTTAAATATTAGATTCAGACTTTAGGTCTATTTTTCAAGCAAACTCTTCCATATACCCCTACATATTCATTACACCAAAAATGTACACATTTAAATTCACACTCGATTCAAGTCATAATAAACATCTGGTTGAGTATTGACCAGGGTATTTTTACATCCGGTGCAGCCGCATACAAAGTGAAAGAAACAAAGATAGCAAAATATGTCTGGACAAGAATTGATGTAATAACTATAATGTCATGGTATTGTATAATATATTTACCTTTTCAGGGCATTATTACCACAAGGAATAGTGAAAACACCATTAAAGCTTGCCATGCATACACAAAGGCATACATGTAAGTTCAATGACCCATTTTCCTTCTATGACAATGTCGTAAGTCAGCAATCCCGACCTCATATGAAAATAAATGGTCATGACTCAAACCTACCATCCCTAGGTTCAGTCAATGCACCAATACCCTACCAACTTATCCAGTATATCTTATGTATATTTTTCATCTTATCAGTTGTGAAAACATAAACATTTATACATGGTGTAAAGCTTAAAGCCTTCATAATGAGACAGTTGATATAGGAATTAAATGTATACAGATAAAAGTAAATAAAACATTAAATAGAATACATCTATAAATAAATGCACCATGTATAACAAAATATTGTTGCCATGTGAGGACTAATGCAAGCATATACAAAATTAAATACTAAGTGTTTACACAGGAATTTGAATAAGAACCATTCTAACAAAATCTGCAATATTACTTACATAACCAGATATACATGTAGCTAACCTACATTTACACTTTACTTTAATAAATTATAGCATGTAAAATTTACTCCCTAGTACATGTAAACAGTAACAAATAATAGCTGGTACAGTTAACTCCCTAGTACATTTATAAAGTATAAAAACAGAGCTGGTATGATTTACTCCCTAGTACATTTACACAGTAATAAAATCTAGCTGGTACTATTCACTCCCTAGTAATTGTATACAGTAGATCACAGCTGGTATTATTTACTCCCTTGTACATTTATAGGGTAACAAACCATAGCTTGTATGATTTACTCCCTTCTACAATTATAATGTTTTAAAGCCAGATTAACTGAAGATCATGACCTACCATCAATATACATTTATCATTTTACTGCATTCTTTTGCCTTTAGAATATTTACAGTAACATATTGTTGGTGTTAGAACTGAAACTCCGTATAGAACATACATGCCATACCTGGTGGACTAACTTAAATTATCAGTTTATTTTTGATAAAAAAATTTTTTTTTTTTTTATTATTCAGGCTATGCCCATAACATTGAGAATTTCAATTATTTTTTATTTAAAATCAGTCCATGCAATTATTATGAATGAAAACAGTAATAACAAATTCTTGTTAATCATAATGTACAAAATAAAAACTCACTATATACTCCAATACAGATATAGAAAGGATTTTTCTTTTACATTTTACTGTTTCATTTACAAAATTTAAATGAATCCTTGTATTTCAGCCCTTATCAAAATTGCAAATCAAAATAGCTAAACCCATATACAACAGTATAATTCTAAAAAAACAACAACAACATTTTGCCATTTAAAGAAAGCCTTTATAAATTAAACTTTTCTAGCAGTTGAAGAAAAGAAAGTCAAAAATAATTTACAAAACATAAACACCCTAAAATGGATCTAAATTTGGATACATATGTTAAAGACTAAAAGAAATCTGTATCAAAAAATAGTGAGCAAATGTAGTAGAATTACATTGTACATCTCACTTGTGTTGCAATGAGAAAAACATGTATATCTCACTTGTGTTACAGTAAGAAAATTAGTCTATCTCACTTGTGTTGCAATGAGAAAAACATGTATATCTCACTTGTGTTACAGTAAGAAAAATAGTCTATCTCACTTGTGTTACAATAAGAAAAACATGTATATCTCACTTGTGTTACAGTAAGAAAAATAGTCTATCTCACTTGTGTTGCAATGAGAAAAACCTTACATTTATCATCACTCAACATTTTTACTACAATAAATTACCTTTCATTACTGAGCTTGACTTTTAAAAATTTGTTAAATATCTGAAAACAATTAGAGGTTATCAAATAAAAAAATCAAATTTTCGATAATATTGCAACAATTAAACAAAATTTAATAAAAAAAAAAAATTGTGATAATTTTGTTATAAAACCATATCTTAACAATAATCAGTATCCCTTTTCTGCACAGAATTTCTCAGACATCCAAAATACATACATAAACTAATGCATATATACTAGGTCTGAAAAATTGTTAAATTCAAAGAAACCTAGAAATAATCTTTGCCATTATGTAAGGAACATTTTATAATAATTGTTTATAATATTGTCTATTTATAGTTATAACTAATTAAAACAGCAGTTGTATGAATCTGTCTTTTTAATTTACTAAGTTGATTTAATTGGCACTGTCCCAAACTTCTGATATCTTTCCAATTATATACTGAAAAATAATAATATAATATCATTATCTCAAAACTGTAGCATGACACAACAATACCAAAGAAATTCCACCGAGATTTTTAACCTGAAGTGACTCCAACTCCCCCCCCCGACTTGTGTACAATTTGATGAAGGTCTAAACTAATAACTTATTAACACTTTTCACTGACAGAGCTAAGAATCGTACAAAAACTGATTTTCAAGTAACCTCTCAAGTAGAGTGGCGACGTGGCCGAGTGGTTAACGCGTCGGACTAGTAATCTAAGGATTGCTGACCGCGTGGGTTCATACCCTGTCAGGGGCAAGCCGTTGTTTCCTTAAGCAAGAAACTTTACATTCATTGCTTAGTACTGGTTGGTTCCAGGAATGGATTCGAGAGTGTTTCAATAAGCTTACAGCTTCCAACACAATCGAACTAAAATAAATTTGTATAAACCAAGTATATTTCTTAATCATCTTTTGCATATTTTGACTTTAAAAGCATCTTTTACAAGTAAGAATTTTAAATTTTATATTTTTATGCTTTATGACCTCAATGGAGCTCATTTAATAATTATCCCAAAACACTTCAACAGTTCGTGAAAGACATCTCTGTACTCAAATGCAACTCTGTATATGTATTTACTTCAACAATACAGAAAAAAACAACTTTGTACTTATATCAACAATTCAAGAAGGACAACTCTGTACTTACTTCAACAGTTCAAGAAGGACACCTTTGTACTTATATCAACAGTTCAAGAAGAACAACTCTGTACTTATTCCAACAGTTCAAGATAACTCTGTATTTCCTTCAACGGTTAAAGAAGGATAACTCTGGACTTACTTCAACAATTCAAGGATGACAACTATGCACTTACTTCAATGGTTGAAAAAGGACAACTCTGTACTTACTTCAACAGTTCAAGAAGGACAACTCTGCACAAACTTCAACAGTTCAGGAAGGACAACTCTGTACTTACTTCAACAGTTCAGGAAGGACAACTCTGTACTTACTTCAACAGTTCAAGAAGGACAACTCTGTACTTACTCCAACAGTTCAAGAAGGACAACTCTGTACTTACTTCAACAGTTCAAGAAGGACAACTCTGTACTTACTTCAACAGTTCAAGAAGGACAACTCTGTACTTACTTCAACAGTTCAGGAAGGACAACTCTGTACTTACTTCAACAGTTCAAGAAGGACAACTCTGTACTTACTCCAACAGTTCAGAAAGGACAACTCTGTACTTACTTCAACAGTTCAAGAAGGACAACTCTGCACTAACTTCAAAAAATCAAGAAGGACAACTCTGTACTTACTTCAACAGTTCGGGAAGGACAACTCTGTACTTACCTCAACAGTTCAAGAAGGACAACTCTGTACTTACTTCAACAGTTCAAGAAGGACAACTCTGTACTTACTTCAACAGTTCAAGAAGAACAACTCTGTACTTACTTTAACAGTTAAAGAAGGACAACTCTGTACTTACTTCAACAGTTCAGGAAGGACAACTCTGTACTTACTACAACAGTTCAAGAAGGACAACTCTGTACTTACTCCAACAGTTAAAGAAGGACAACTCTATACTAACTCAAACAGTTCAGAAAGGACAACTCTGTACTTACTTCAACAGTTCAGGAAGGACTACTCTGTACTAACTTCAACAGTTCATGAAGGACAACTCTGTACTTACTTCAACAGTTCAAGATGGACAACTCTGTACTTACTTCAACAGATCAGAAAGGACAACTCTGTACTTACTTCAACAGTTCAGGAAGGACAACTCTGTACTTACTTCAACAGTTCAAGAAGGACAACTCTGTACTTACTTCAACAGTTCAGGAAGGACAACTCTGTACTTACTTCAACAGTTCAAGAAGGACAACTCTGCACTAACTTCAACAGTTCAAGAAGGACAACTCTGTACTTACTTCAAACAGTTCAGGAAGGACAACTCTGTACTTACTTCAACAGTTCAAGAAGGACAACTCTCTGTACTTACTCCAACAGTTCAAGAAGGACAACTCTGTACTTACTTCAACAGTTCAAGAAGAACAACTCTGTACTTACTTCAACAGTAAAAGAAGGACAACTCTGTACTTACTTCAACAGTTCAGGAAGGACAACTCTGTACTTACTTCAACAGTTCAAAAGGACAACTCTGTACTTACTCCAACAGTTCAGAAAGGACAACTCTGTACTTACTTCAACAGTTCAAGAAGGACAACTCTGCACTAACTTCAACAGTTCAAGAAGGACAACTCTGTACTTACTTCAACAGTTCGGGAAGGACAACTCTGTACTTACCTCAACAGTTCAAGAAGGACAACTCTGTACTTACTTCAACAGTTCAAGAAGGACAACTCTGTACTTACTTCAACAGTTCAAGAAGAACAACTCTGTACTTACTTTAACAGTTAAAGAAGGACAACTCTGTACTTACTTCAACAGTTCAGGAAGGACAACTCTACTTACTACAACAGTTCAAGAAGGACAACTCTGTACTTACTCCAACAGTTCAAGAAGGACAACTCTATACTTACTCAAACAGTTCAGAAAGGACAACTCTGTACTTACTTCAACAGTTCAGGAAGGACTACTCTGTACTAACTTCAACAGTTCATGAAGGACAACTCTGTACTTACTTCAACAGTTCAAGAAGGACAACTCTGTACTTACTTCAACAGTTCAGAAAGGACAACTCTGTACTTACTTCAACAGTTCAGGAAGGACAACTCTGTACTTACTTCAACAGTTCAGAAAGGACAACTCTGTACTTACTTCAACAGTTCAAGAAGAACAACTCTATACTTACTTCAACAGTTCAAGAAGGACAACTCTGTACTTATTCCAACAGTTGAAGAAGGACAACTCTGTACTTACTTCAACAGTTCAAGAAGGACAACTCTGTACTTACTTCAACAGTTCAAGAAGAACAACTCTGTACTTACTTCAACAGTTCAAGAAGAACAACTCTGTACTTATTCCAACAGTTCAAGATAACTCTGTATTTCATTCAACGGTTAAAGAAGGATAACTCTGGACTTACTTCAACAATTCAAGGATGACAACTATGTACTTACTTCAAAGGTTGAAAACGGACAACTCTGTACTTACTCCAACAGTTCAAGAAGGACAACTCTGTACTTACTTCAACAGTTCAAGAAGGACAACTCTGCACTAACTTGAACAGTTCAAGAAGGACAACTCTGTACTTACTTCAACAGTTCAGGAAGGACAACTCTGTACTTACTTCAACAGTTCAAGAAGGACAACTCTGTACTTACTTCAACAGTTCAAAGAAGGACAACTCTGTACTTACTCCAACAGTTCAGAAAGGACAACTCTGTACTTACTTCAACAGTTCAAGAAGGACAACTCTGCAATAACTTCAACAGTTCAAGAAGGACAACTCTGTACTTACTTCAACAGTTCAAGAAGGACAACTCTGTACTTACCTCAACAGTTCAAGAAGGACAACTCTGTACTTACTTCAACAGTTCAAGAAGGACAACTCTGTACTTACTTCAACAGTTCAAGAAAAACAACTCTGTACTTACTTTAACAGTTAAAGAAGGACAACTCTGTACTTGCTCCAACAGTTCAGAAAGGACAACTCTGTACTTACTTCAACAGTTCAAGAAGGACAACTCTGCAATAACTTCAACAGTTCAAGAAGGACAACTCTGTACTTACTTCAACAGTTCAGGAAGGACAACTCTAACTTACTACAACAGTTCAAGAAGGACAACTCTGTACTTACTCCAACAGTTCAAGAAGGACAACTCTATACTTACTCAAACAGTTCAGAAAGGACAACTCTGTACTTACTTCAACAGTTCAGGAAGGACTACTCTGTACTAACTTCAACAGTTCATGAAGGACAACTCTGTACTTACTTCAAACAGTTCAAGAAGGACAACTCTGTATTTACTTCAACAGTTCAGAAAGGACAACTCTGTACTTACTTGAACAGTTCAGGAAGGACAACTCTGTACTTACTTCAACAGTTCAGAAATGACAACTCTGTACTTACTTGAACAGTTCAGGAAGGACAACTCTGTACTTACTTCAACAGTTGAAGAAGGACAACTATGTACTTACTTCAACAGTTCAAGAAGGACAACTCTGTACTTACTTCAAACAGTTCAAGAAGGACAACTCTATACTTACTTCAACAGTTTAGGAAGGACAACTCTGTACTTACTTCAACAGTTTCAAGAAGAACAACTCTGTACTTACTTTAACAGTTAAAGAAGGACAACTCTGTACTTACTTCAACAGTTCAGGAAGGACAACTCTACTTACTACAACAGTTCAAGAAGGACAAACTCTGTACTTACTACTAAAAAACAGTTCAAGAAGGACAACTCTATACTTACTCAAACAGTTCAGAAAGGACAACTCTGTACTTACTTCAACAGTTCAGAAGGACTACTCTGTACTAACTTCAACAGTTCATGAAGGACAACTCTGTACTTACTTCAACAGTTGAAGAAGGACAACTCTGTACTTACTTCAACAGTTGCAAGAAGGACAACTCTGTACTTACTTCAACAGTTCAAGAAGGACAACTCTATACTTACTTCAACAGTTTAGGAAAGGACAACTCTGTACTTACTTCAACAGTTTCAGGAAGGACAACTCTGTACTTACTTCAACAGTTCAAGAAGGACAACTCTGTACTTACTTCAACAGTTCAAGAAGGACAACTCTGTACTTACTCCAACAGTTCAGAAAGGACAACTCTGTACTTACTTCAACAGTTCAAGAAGGACAACTCTGCAATAACTTCAACAGTTCAAGAAGGACAACTCTGTACTTACTTCAACAGTTCAAGAAGGACAACTCTGTACTTACCTCAACAAGTTCAAGAAGGACAACTCTGTACTTACTTCAACAGTTCAAGAAGGACAACTCTGTACTTACTTCAACAGGTTCAAGAAAAAAACAACTCTGTACTTACTTTAACAGTTAAAGAAGGACAACTCTGTACTTACTCCAACAGTTCAGAAAGGACAACTCTGTACTTACTTCAACAGTTCAAGAAGGACAACTCTGCAAATAACATCAACAGTTCAAGAAGGACAACTCTGTACTTACTTCAACAGTTCAGGAAGGACAACTCTGTACTTACTACAACAGTTCAGAAGGACAACTCTGTACTTACTCCAACAGTTCAAGAAGGACAACTCTATACTTACTCCAACAGTTCAGAAAGGACAACTCTGTACTTACTTCAACAGTTCAGGAAGGAACTACTCTGTACTAACTTCAACAGTTCATGAAGACAACTCTGTACTTACTTCAACAGTTCAAGAAGGACAACTCTGTACTTACTTCAACAGTTCAGAAAGGACAACTCTGTACTTACTTGAACAGTTCAGGAAGGACAACTCTGGGTACTTTACTTCAACAGTTCAGAAATGACAAACTCTGTACTTACTTGAACAGTTCAGGGAAGGACAAACTCTGTACTTACTTCAACAGTTGAAGAAGGACAACTATGTACTTACTTCAACAGTTCAAGAAGGACAACTCTGTACTTACTTCAACAGTTCAAGAAGGACAACTCTATACTTACTTCAACAGTTTAGGAAGGACAATCTGTACTTACTTCAACAGTTTCAAGAAGAACAACTCTGTACTTACTTTAACAGTTAAAGAAGGACAACTCTGTACTTACTTCAACAGTTCAGGAAGGACAACTCTGTACTTACTACAACAGTTCAAGAAGGACAACTCTGTACTTACTCCAACAGTTTCAAGAAGGACAACTCTATACTTACTCAAACAGTTCAGAAAGGACAACTCTGTACTTACTTCAACAGTTTCAGAAAAGGACAACTCTGTACTTACTTGAACAGTTCAGGAAGGACAACTCTGTACTTACTTCAACAGTTCAGAAATGACAACTCTGTACTTACTTGAACAGTTCAGGAAGGACAACTCTGTACTTACTTCAACAGTTGAAGAAGGACAACTATGTACTTACTTCAACAGTTCAAGAAGGACAACTCTGTACTTACTTCAACAGTTCAAGAAGGACAACTCTATACTTACTTCAACAGTTCAGGAAGGACAACTCTGTACTTACTTCAACAGTTCAGGAAGGACAACTCTGTACTTACTTCAACAGTTCAAGAAGGACAAGTCTGTACTTACTTCAACAGTTCAGAAAGGACAACTCTGTACTTACTTCAACAGTTCAAGAAGAACAACTCTGTACTTACTCCAACAGTTCAGGAAGGACAACTCTATACTTACTTCAACAGTTCAAGAAGGACAACTCTGTACTTATTCCAACAGTTGAAGAAGGACAACTCTGTACTTACTTCAACAGTTCAAGAAGAACAACTCTGTACTTACTTCAACAGTTCAAGAAGAACAACTCTGTACTTATTCCAACAGTTCAAGATAACTCTGTATTTCATTCAACGGTTAAAGAAGGATAACTCTGGACTTACTTCAACAATTCAAGGATGACAACTATGTACTTACTTCAATGGTTGAAAAAGGACAACTCTGTACTTACTCCAACAGTTCAAGAAGGACAACTCTGCACTAACTTCAACAATTCAAGATAGACAACCCTGCACTTACTTAAACAGTTCAAGAAGAACAACTCTGTACTTACTTCAACAGTTTTCTTATCAGTTATATGAATCTCTTTCTTAGTGCTTGACCCTCCGAATAAAAACTTCTTCTCTTTCTCCTTCAAGACAAGCTCAAAACCCTTGTTGTTTGCCTTAGGTTTCTCTTTCAACTCTGCCCAAACATACGTAAATTCACAATTCCATTGTCCAAAGATTTCACCACGACTTGCAAAAATTACTCTCCTTTATAGAAAAACAGGAAAAATATGTATCGTACAAGTATCATGTACATACATGACTAAAGCATGTTTGTATGCACAATGTAGTTGTATATCTATATAAAACAAGAGGGCCATGATGGCCCTAAGTCGTTCACCAGAAAGAACTGCTTTCCAGTGTTGGAATGTCAATATATTGTAATATTAAATTTGAGCATAGAATGCTTGTTTTAACAATAATTTGAAGAAATGCCATGACCTGGGGTATTTAAGCTTTAGCTTCAACGGAGCTAATCAAATTAATATGAGCAAATTTGATAAAAGACTACTTAAGAATGCTACAAAGTTTGGTGATCATGTATCAATAATTTCAGTAGGAAATGATGTTCAAAGGTTTTTTCTATTTTTCTATTTTTTAGCTTTAGTGGCCCCTAAAAGGGGCTAATCAAATTAATATGAGCAAACTTGATAAAAGACTACCCGAGAATGCTACAAAGTTTGGTGATCATCCATCAATTAGTTCTGTAGCAATAGCATTTAAATGAATATCAATTTTTAATTTTAGCGGCCCCTAAAAGGGGCCAATCAAAATATGAGCAAACTTGATAAAAGACTACCCAAGAATGCTACAGACAAAGATTGGTGATCATCCATCAATTAGTTCTGTAGAAATAGACATTTAACAGTATTTCTATTTTTAGCTATAGAGACCCCTAAAAGGGGCTAATCAAATGAATATGAGCAAACTTGATTAAAGACTATCCAAGAATGCTACAGACAAAGTTTGGTGATCTTCCATCAATTAGTTCTGTAGAAATAGACATTTAAAGGTATTTCTATTTTTAGCTTTTGCGGCCCCTAAAAGTGGCCAATCAAAATAATATAAGCAAACTTGATAAAAGACTACCTAAGAATGCTTCAGACAAAGTTTGGTGATCATCCATCAATTAGTTCTGTAGAAATAGACATTTAAAGGTATTTCTATTTTTAGCTTTTGCAGCCCCTTAAAGGGGCCAATCAAATTAATATGAGCAAACTTGATAAAACACTACCTGAGAATGCTACTGACAAAGTTTGGAGATCATCCATCAATTAGTTCTGTAGGAGAAGATGTTTAAAGGTTTTTCTATTTTTAGCCCTAGAGACCCCTAAAAGGGGCCAATCAAAAAAATATTAGCAAACTTGATTAAAGACTACCCAAGAATGCTACAAACAAAGTTTGGTGATCATCCATCAATTAGTTCTCTAGAAATAGACTTATAACGGTATTTCTATTTTTAGCTTTAGCGGCCCCTAAAAGGGGCCAATCAAATTAATATGAGCAAACTTGATAAAACACAGCCCAAGAATGCTACAGACAAAGTTTGGTGATCATCCATCAATTAGTTCTGTAGAAGAAGATGTTTAAAGGTTTTTCTATTTTTAGCCCTAGAGACCCCTAAAAGGGGCCAATCAAAATAATATTAACAAACTTGATAAAAGACTACCTAAGAATGCTTCAGACAAAGTTTGGTGATCATCCATCAATTAGTTCTGTAGAAATGGACATTTAAAGGTTTTTCTATTTTTAGCTTTTGCGGCCCCTAAAAAGGGGCCAATCAAATTTATATGAGCAAACTTGATAAAAGACTACCCAAGAATGCTATAGACAAAGTTTGGTGATCATCCATCCATTAGTTCTGTAGAAGAAGATGTTTAAAGGTTTTTCTATTTTTAGCCCTAGAGACCCCTAAAAGGGGCCAATCAAATTAATATGAGCAAACTTGATAAAAGACTACCCAAGAATGCTACAGACAAAGTTTGGTGATCATCCAACCATTAGTTCTGTAGACGAAGATGTTTTAAGGTTTTTCTATTTTTAGCTCTGCTGACCCCTAAAAGGGGCCAATTGGAATGACATGAGCAAATTCAAGTGTGACTGTCACAAGGATGCTTTAAACCAAATTTGAAGTAAATCTGTCCAGTAGTTTCGGAGAAGAGGACGATTGTTGACGCATGACGACGGAAGCCGGAGCATCCCCCTTTGATACTAATAGCTCACCCTGAGCCTTCGGCTCTGGTGAGCTAATAAAAGGCTGATTTATCAGAAAATAATATTTCAATTCAATTATTGAAAAATGACAGTAACAGCCCAAAAGTTCTCAATAATTATATTACTGAAACTAAACATCAGGCAAATTGAAAACAAGAGCACCTCATGCAGTACTAAAACTTCTTAGTTAAAAACCGGGCACTTCTCAAAAGATATTGCTTTCAGAATTATGCCCCTTGTCTAACAATAGAACCTTGTCATGATAAGCAAGTATTCCAAGTTTCATGATTAGAACTTTTAAAATGTTGGATTAATTGGCTACATTAAAGTTTTTGCATGATGCCAATGATGACGACGCCACAACAATCATTATAGCTCATCTTCTTCAAAACAGACAAGTTTATATCAACCACAGACAGCCTTTAATCGAATCCAAAGTGTATTCATGATACTGATATATACAATTTGGCATTAAGTTAAATCAATTAAAACATGTTTTTTTAACATTGACCATAACTATGCTGAAACTGAGTGAGTAGCTTATATAACCATTATAGAGTCAGGCTAGCCTTTTGGTGCATGAGGCCCTATATTGTTAATGGTTGTCCACGTAATGAATTCAGTAAGTTAAGGGTGAAAATGTCACTGTCACATAATAGAACCTTTAAATTTCCTAAGGATATAAAATGTGCGCGCAGCTGAAAAGAACTGTGGCAAGGTATTTCTAGACTTAAAGGTTCGAAGCTCAGTCAAGCAATACATTTCTGTTCACACTAGTGTTACAAAAAACAGTTATAAACATACTTGTTAGTCACTAGGAAGACATTTTTCTGGTCTTTAGTTACTACAGCATGAGCTACATAATCATCTGTCTTGTAAAACTTCCCTTTCTCTGTCTCCTGTAAACATACAAAACATAGTAAACATACAAATGTAGAAAAATATACAAATGTAGAAAAATATACAAAAACATACAACTGTAGAAAAATATACAAATGTAGAAAACCATAGAAGTGTAGGAAACATACAAAGACATGTATAGGAAACATACAAATGAAGGAAATGTACCAATGCAGGAAGGAAACATACAAATATAGGAAACATACAAATTTGAAGAAACATACAAATGTAGGAAACAGCAAATGTAGAGATCATACAAATGAAGGAAACATATCAATGCCGGAGGGAAACATACAAATGCAGGACACAGATGAAGGAAGGATACATACAAATGTAGGAAACACACAAATGAAGAAAGGAAACATACAAATGTAGGGAAACATACAAATGTAGGAAATATCAAATAAAGGAAAGAAACATGGTAATGTAAGAAACATACAAATGGAGGAAGGAAACACACAAATGTAAAAAAGTGCATACAAGTGAAGAAACCATACAAATGTAGGAAATATACAAATGAAACATACAGAAGAAACATACAAATGTAGAAAACATACAAATGTAGGAAACAAATTTGTGGACATAATACAATCATAAACAAATACAAATATAATCATCTGTCTTGAAAAATTTCATGTAGCCAAGTGGTTAATATGTCAGACTAGTAATCTAAGGATCTTTAACAGAGTGGGTTCAAAACCCATCAGGGCCGAGCCGTTTCTTTCCTTCATCGAGAAACTTTACACACATTACTCAGTACTGATTGGTTCCAGGAACAGATTCAAGAGTGTGTCTATAAGCTTATAGCTTCTTACACAATCAAACTAAAATAAATTCTGTGTAAACTAACAATTTCATACAGCTTATAAATACATGTAACAGAAATCTGTCTTCAACAATCTTGTCGTATTTATTATTTTCCTATTGCTATAAATCTCAGATTCAGAACATTATGCATTTGAAAATATATGTCTCCATGTGGTATTTGAACTAACGGCCACCATCTTTCAAGCTAATACTGATCAAATGTTTAAGGCAATTGTTCTTGTTGCAGATAAGATGAAGACCACTCTTGCTTAACTTGAATACTACATGAACATCAACAAAACACGCTAAATTTCAAGGACCCTTGGACGATTTTATTGGCTAAAAATAGATTGAAATAACTGGGACATACCAATAGTATTGCATAGCCCGCAGCCTCTGCTTCATTGTACGGTCGGATGACCTTGTCTTTGTGGAACCTTCGAGGTGGCCGTAAACGATGAATTTCACCAACATTTTCTGCTATCCTGAAATATTAACAATATCTTATAAACACATGTAGTTTGTATGATACATTTTGATTAACATGTTCAACAAATTTAACTTTGTTCCTAAATATTTACTACCTTTACAGTTGAACTTCATAACCACAAAATAGTCTTTCATGTTTAGGCTTGGTTGGTTGAGTTTAACGCTGCACAAACACAATATAGGTCATAAGGTGACTTTCAAGCTTTACTGGTGGAGGAAGACCTCAGGCACAAAAGGGCGCCTGAGTAGAACCACCGACGTTCGGTAAGCTAGCTGAATAACTGTATCAAATGTAGAATCCGAAGTCGCTGACGCGGCTTGAGCCTACAGTGGTGAGAGGTAAATGGTTAGAAGTTAAGGAACTTATCCGAGCCTTAAGGTATTGGCTTGAGCAAATGTTTGAGGTAATGGCTTGGGCACAAAATTAATACATTGAGTACTGGTCATTCATATTTAAAAGTTAGAATAGTTATTTTGTATCTTTGAGAATCAATATGACACTTTAATAATATATAAAGACATCACCAAATTTAAACCAAAATGTTTTATTCTCCAATCAATGAAGCCAGTTACCAATGTGTTTATAGATAGACACGTTAAATTATGATCGCAGATTTACAAATATTAACTTGCAAAATATAGCACTTCAATTTACTTTACCTCTTAATTCCTTCAAAAGAGCTACTGGCAAAGTCTATAACACCACTTGTAGGTCTGGTTACCACACCGACTAGACCTTTACCCACGCCCTTAAAGAATCCCTCCACTCCTTCTTTCTTGGCACCTTCAATAGGCTTCCTCACAATTCCTGTGACTCCATCAAACACACCCTAATTATATAATACACATATACATGTATATTAAACTATTCACAACAAATTCTCTCAACAAAGAAACCCAAGAAAAATGAGTAACACTAAAAAAAGTGTTGGTGCACCAAACAAACTACCGTATTCCGGTTTATACCAGACAAAGGACTTGAATGATTAAAATGCTAAAATTTCACCTGCTGAAATGCATTTTAAAGTTTCTAATTCAGCTCTCCAAATTGATTTATACATGTTTATGATAATGAATGAAAATGTAAGAATCAGCAAAAAAAGCGATCTTCATCTACTTTATGATCATGATATATTTTGATAATTTTATATAAAAAGAAGCCAACAAGAATCTTGATCATTTAACATCGAAATTCAATCCAGCATCTTATATTGAAAATTTGTTTCAAATTTCAATACCGTAGCTGCCTATGAGCTAGGTGAGCTAAAAATAGTAATTAGGGATGTTTTTTCTTTCCTTTTGGTTCGGTTTTACATCACACCAACACAGTATAGGTCATATGGCAACTTTCCAGCATTACTGGGGGAGGAAGACCACAGGTTCCCATCTGAGCATAAATTCAGGCAAACGCAGGCACCTGAAAACAGCCACTGACATTCCGTAAGCTAGTTAGATAGCCCTCTCACATGAAAGAATCAGAAGATGCTTGTGCAAATTAAGGATGTATTAATGATAAACTCACCATGACTAGACCTTTACCACCTCGGGCGAAACCTTCACCAACATTTGCCGGTCTTTTGTTCATTGCCTCTCGTCGTTTCTTCTGGTACTCGTCATCTAGTGTTAGAGCCGCCAGACCTTTACCTAGGGTACCAGTGATCCTGGATACGGCACCAGCAGCGCCACCTGGTAACAAAACAGGGAGTGTGATAATTGTCGCAAACAAATCACCCAAGCACAAAGATTTTAAACTTATATAAAATCTTTAAGTTTCAGATTTTCCCCTTTTGGTTCTGTTGTTTTCAGTTCCAGGATCCAATGGAGGTAAGAATTATAAAACATTCCATATGGTTTGGTATTACCGTGTGACAAGTCTATTATTATACATGTATATTTTGCTTTATTCATGGTGGACGACCTGATGTGTGTTAGTTCAAGCTGAAATGGACAATGGAAGTGTAGAACCACTAGCTAGTTGGATAGCTTCCTCACATGAATGGAACAAATTAATTGACAAGAAGGTATAACATATAAAAGAATTTTTCAGGTTAAGTTAAAATATTGGTCCTGTCCATTTGCTTGTGAGTCGGTATTTCTTGTTGCTGCACATAAATAAAGATGACCTGTGTTGGGCAATTTTCTTTTTTATTAGGTTTTGATCCATACTGACATTATACAGGCCATAAAGTGACTTTAACTACCATCTAGTGTCGTTTCCTCCCATAAAGTGACTTTTTCTGCTTCAATGGCATATAGAGACTGCAGATGTTCCCTCCATACATTTATGCATAATTTCAAACAAATGTAGAAAATTCAACAGACACAATGCCACCCTGCGCTCTTTGTCTGACAATAACTAAACCATATAATTACATACAGAAGTATATACATACCAACAGCATGTCCAAACAAACTTCTCACTCCTAGAGCAAGACCTTCAGCAAATTCCTCTGGTCCTTGTATAGCACCCTGCAAATAATATACATTGATTGATAATTACCAAATCAAGACACAATAAAGACAATTACAAGTTCACTACCTATTCTCAGTGCCTGACAGTTAGAAAAGGGGCATAACTCTGTAAAAAGGAAACTCAGAGTTATGGGACCTGTGTCCATCATGTTTAAGATAATCACAGAGAACAAGTGTGTAAAGTTTCAACCCATTCCCTTCAGCAGTTTTAAAGATACCAACTTGCAAACAAAAACTTAACCAGTGGGTGTGATGGCAGCCAATGCCAATTACAGAAGCCTCATCTATTCTTCAAATAGTCAAGCTTATTAAATGTGGTAAATTATCTGTATATATATAGTTTAAACAGATCAAATGATAGAATCAAAGAATGACTCATCTGAGTGAATAAATGAAATTTAAGGTTCAAACATACCTGGTAAGGTTCATAGAAAAGATCTTCCAGACCCTCTGCCATACCACGTAACAGACCAAACGGATTACCTAGAACATCTAGACCCAATACCAACACATACATCTGTTTTATTGCCTGAAATCAACAAAGAAAAAAAAACACTTTATTAATTACAAGACAAAATAACAATAAACTGTTGAACATGACATTCAAATACAAGAGGGCCATGATGGCCCTGAAGTCGCTCACCTGTACATAGGCCCCCGGAGCGGGGCCAGTTTAAAGCCCCGGGCTTTTATTTGAACAAACTTGGTAGACAACCATTAGAAGATGTTTCATGCTAAACATCTAAGGTCTAGCTCGTTGGGATTTTTAAAAGAAGATTTTTTTAAGTTTTTTCTTTACACATGTAGTTAAAAACAATGACACACCTGGGGCCAGGGCCAGTTTTGACCCCAGGGCTTTTATTTGAACAATCTTTGTAGACACTTACTAGAAGATGTTTCATGCTTAATATCTAAACTCTAGCTATTCGGGTTTTTTCAAAGAAGATTTTTAAGTTTTTGCTATACTCGTATAAGGAAAATCAATGTCCCCAGGGGCGGGGCCAATTTTGACTCCAGGGCTTTTATTTGAACAAACTTTGAAGACTTCTTACACTCTAGCTATTTGAGTATTTTCAAAGAAGATTTTTCAATTTTTGCTATAGTTTTACACATATAGGGAAAATGAATGACCTCCGGGTGAGGCCAATTTTGACCCCAGGGCTTTTATTTGAACAATATTTGTAGACAATCACTAGAAAATGTTTCATGCTTAATATTTGAACTGTAGCTATTTTGGTTCTTTAAAAGAAGATTTTTTAAGTTTATCCTGTACACATATAAGGCAATTCGGAAAATCAATGATCCCCAGGGCCGGACCAATTTTGACCCCAGGGCTCTTATTTGAACAAACTTGGTAGACATCGATTAGAAGATGTTTCATGCTAAATATTTTAGCTCTAGCTCTTTTGGTTCTTTATAAGAAGATTTTTAAGTTTTTACTATATGCATATGGGGAAAATCAATGACCCCCTGGGGCGGGGCAAATTTTGACCCCAGGGCTTTTATTTGAACAAACTTGGTAGACACCCATTAGAAGATGTTTCATGCTAAATATCTTAGCTCTAGCTCTTTGGGTTCTTTAAAAGAAGATTTTTTAAGTTTTTACTATATGCATATAGGGAAAATCAATGACCCCCTGGGGCGGGCCAATTTTGACCCCAAGGGCTTTTATTTGAACAAACTTGGTAGACACTCACCACAAGATGTTTCATGCCAAAAATCTAAGCTCTAGCTCCTTTGTTTTTTTTGAAGAAGATATTTTAAGTTTTTTCTTTTGGTTGCCATGGCAACCAGAGTTCTGCATGGAATTAAATTCTTTGAACAATTTTCAAAGGTGACCACCAAAGGAACATTCCTGTGAAGTTTGGATGAAATTGGCTTAATGGTTTATGAGGAGATGTCATTTAAAGTAAAAGTTTACGGACGACGGACGGACGAAAAGCGATCACAAAAGCTCACCCTGTCACTTTGTGACAGGTGAGCTAATAAAAAAAATATATAATACACAAAACAACTAATTGCAAATACATTTGATAAATAGCCTGTTTTTAGTCCAGAAAGTACCTTGTGGTTATGGTATAAGCCTATCAAACCTAGGGATCGAGGGTTCAAGCTTTCAATGCAATCATATAATATGTTCAAATCAAAAGGTCTTGCTTTTCATCTCAACATATATTTTTCTTGTAAAATAGAAGTATTTTCCTTATTTTTCCATATTATTTCATTTTGATTTTAGTTTCTCAGCAAGCAAACTTTTATTAATGTACAGATGGCCAATGACTTACCTGTCCAGCATAATGTGTGGTCATTTCACCAACCAACATTTTATTGTTGTAGAATGTATGTTGTCTTTCAAAGAAACCAAGTCTGAAAAATAAACACAAAACCTTGCAATAAAAGACCAGGGATCACTTGCTGTGTGGGTTCAAACCCTTCAGGAGCAAGCAATAATGATTTTTATCCATGAAAATTCAGAGCCCATAAATTTGTTGAAATTACATAGCTTAATCATTTAAATTATCATACACTACAACTACTTTACCATTAAATACACATAATGAGTGATCTGATACAAAAACTATAACTTGAAAGACATTTTACAAGGACTACATCAAGCATTATTAATGCTAGCTGCATACAAGCAGATGTGTGCCATCAATGTAACATCTGGCAAGTTTTCACTAACATTCCATAAGTTTTTGGGTATCTTTTAACGCAAGTTAAGACTTACACAAAACGTAAATTTACGTTAGTTGTGTTTCACTAAACAGAACATGCAATTTACGCCAGCAATAAGTGAGCATAACTTTAAGTTTAAACTAATGCAACTGCGTAGCTAAGAAAGTTTAGTGAAAGGCAAATAAATACGTAAGTTCTGCTTATGCAAAAAGTTACGTTCAAACTCAAGTTACGATAACGCAAGTACGTTAGTGAAATGCAAGCCTGGCGTCCTTGAAAGACTGCCTTGTTTTACCTGATTCTATACTATCAGCTGGTTATTGCTAGTATCGTGATGCTGATCCCTTCAACTTAAAATGGATTGTTCTAAACAAAAGCGGGACTAGTCAATTACATTAATACAGCTCAGTAAAGGCTGAAATCATTCTCCAGTATGTTTAACAATTAAAATTAATTTTTAGAACTTACTTGAAGACAACATCCTGTACGTCTGTGAGGACGACGCCCACAGATTGTAAGAACACATTGATCACGTTAGAATGTAACTGTGTCGGTTTACCGTCACCTCCTCCGCCACCTTGTAGGGAAAAGCTCAAGTGTACCTGTAAGTTACATAATAATTTTGTAATAATGCAGGTAATGCATGTCTCAAGCAGGGGTGTCCATGGCCGAGTGTCTCAAGCACTATTCTAATAAAAGACCTTGTTTGTATGTTTTTTCGTCTTTTTTTTTAAATGCCAATTTCAATCAGTTTTGGTCACATTTTGTTAGTCAGTCTACATACCATGCTTTCCTAGATAACTAACCAATAACCACCAATCTCTTTGCAAGTCACAGACTACTTAGTCCACATATTTTTGCATCAGTAGCAAGAGACAAATGACCATTACACCCAATGTCAGAGATTAATTGTCACAGAGAAATTTTACCCTACCTGAAGATATCAACCAGCAACCCCTGCTTATGACTTGTATGTTCTCCCTATTCAGTTCTGAGCTTAGCGGGCAAACTATGCCCATTCATTAGCCAAGAAGGGTGTAGGGTCAATATAGTATGTAGCTTTACCTTTATATGGCACCTGAGTAGAACCACTGACATTTTATAAGCTAGCTGGATAGCTTCCTAACATTAAAGAAACCAAAGTCTCTGTCATGATTAAAACCCACAGAGGTGAGAGGCAAGTGGTTTGAAGTCAACAATCTGTGACACCCTCATTAGAATGATATATCAATATAATGTAATTATAGTATTACCTTTATAGGTGAAAGATGAAGATAATCATAAAACATTTTTTGTTCACTTGCTAGATAGTATAATTATAGTATTACCTTTATAGGTGAAAGATGAAGATAATCATAAAACATTTTTTGTTCACTAGCTAAAGACACGCCCATCGTCGTGATCAAATCTTTCTCTGTCCTCTCTATATCCTCTTCCATAAGTTGTTTCTGTGACGGAAAAATATATACAAAATTTGAGCCGTGTCATGACAAAACCAACATAATGGGTTTGCGACCAGCATGGATCCAGACCAGCCTGTGCATCCGCGCAGTCTGATCAGGATCCATGCTGTTCACTTACCAACTCTATTACAAGTAGAGAAACTGATAGCGAACAGCATGGATCCTGATCAGACTGCATGGATGCGCAGGCTGGTCTGGATCCATGCTGGTTGCAAACCCATTATGTTGGTTTTGTCATGACAAGGCTCAAATATATTTCTTTAACGGCCCTTACAGCCATAAATATGACATTTACACACCTCACAACAAAACTATGTTTTTAATGCTTTTGAGAAATCTCTCATTTTCCAGATTTTTTACTATTCTATTATCCTATCCTTTAAGTGGTCTTAGAAATGTACATTCTTAACAATACATATTCTATTATCCTATCCTTTAAGTGGTCTTAGAAATGTGCATTCTTAACAATACATACTCTATTATCCTATCCTTTAAGTGGTCTTAGAAATGTGCATTCTTAACAATACATACTCTATTATCCTATCCTTTAAGTGGTCTTAGAAATGTGCATTCTTGACAATAGATATCTATTATCCTATCCTTTAAGTGGTCTAAGAAATATTCACACTTGACAATATATATTCTACTATCATATCCTTAAAGTGGTCTTAGAAACACTTGACAATACTTTGACTATTTAAAACACTGCCTTAATCTTCACAAAATCTAGCATAAATCTGGAGGGTGTGTTGTTTTAATGTTGCTATGGTTACCTCTTGATCTCTAGAAGCCTCCTGGTCAGAACTGAACAAGTCGAGAATATTGTTGAGGAATCCTTGATCTACCTTTACCTGCATCTCTTGTATTAGCACCTTAAAATATCTGAAAAATATCAAAATTTGATAATTTTCTAGAACACTTTCACTGCTGGGATAAGTACTGCATAATCATTATTATTTGTGTGGCATGTTTTTTGTGGATATATTTGCATATTTTGACTTTCTTTTGGTACTTTACCTAAACTGCAAGTCTGTTTGCAATGCATAAATTACATTCTTTCTTCGTTTCACAAGAGTGGCGGCATGGCTGAGTGGTCAACGTGTCCGATTAGAGCTTTAAAGACTGCTGGCCACGTGGGTTCAAAACCTTTCAGTGGCAAGCCGTTGTTCCTTGTGCTATAAAGACTGCTTGCCACCTGGGTTCAAGACTGCTGGCCACGTGGGTTCAAACCCCATTCAGTGGCAAGCCGTTGTTCCGTGAGCAAGAGATTTTACACTCATTGCTAAGACTACTGGTTGGTTTCAGGAAGGGATTTGAGAGTGTTTCAATAAGCTTACAGTTTCCGACATAATCCAACTTAAATAAATTTGTATAAACTAAAATATAAGCATAATGTCTTGTTAATGTCACAAAACTTACTTCATTTGTGATATGTTGCTATGCTCGTGTTTCCTTAACATCATACTGATCTCTGTGAATGGTTTTGGAACTGAAATATAAAAGGAACAGTATAATTACTACAATAGAATTATAATTTGGGAATCAAGCAAAATAGAAAAATATTACCTTTAGCTTGCTGAGAGGGCTCACATTAGCTTTTGAAAATAACTTGGTACCAGGCCAGAAGTCGAGTGCTGGTACTAAGTACTTTGACACCTGTTCATTTTCAATTAGAGAACAATGGATAAAATTAGAAAGTTAAGCAGGCAAAATTTTCATATGCATTTCTCCACCCACAATAAAATTACAACATTCTTATATTTTAAATGTTCCTATTTATAACAGTACATCTTCATCTAAAAAATAAATATATTTTTGAAGGGGGTGGGTGGGTTTAACATCCCTGCTCGCACCAATACTCTAAAGTCATATGATGATTTTCGCTTTACTGGTGGAAGAAGACCTCAGGTGCCTTTCCATGCATTATTTCAAGCACAAACAGGCACCTGAGTAAAACTATCGTATTTAACTACCATTCAAGCTAGCTGGATATCTAAAATATATAATCCCGTATAGAATTATCAAAATTTAACAAATTTTTCTACAAAATTTTTAATACGTTATATAATGTTATATTACCACTTTCAGCAGCAACAGATTTTGGAGGTGGCATTGGTGATATAACTGTAGGGAACACTGATCCTGCCAACTGGTTATCCAGCTACAAGCATACAAATATACATAGGTATATAATAATTATTTTTTTTAACATTTCCTATAGAAGGACTAATAAAAGAAGCTTATTTTTATCACATATTTTATGAATGTAATTTAGAAATAACGTTCTTTTTTGTAGAACATCGTTTTTAATATAAAAATGTCCAATCAATATTAAAATGGCCGATCAGACATTTTTTCTTCTGTATCCTAACTTAATAATATCCGGCTTGTTTTCCGACGCATTTAATGTCAACATTAACCATTAGCTTGCTGGTGACAAATTAATTCTTACTTAATCTCAAATTCTTTTATCACAATTCAAAATCTGAATTCTTTTTTCACAAAGTGATCTATTCTATAATTTGGTTTTAAATAACAACATTCTTATTCCAATGTACAGTGATATTCCTATATTCTTAAGTAAAACTGTTTAATACTGTTATGAATGGTCTAAAATAGACCAAAAATACACACAGATTTCAACAGTTGCCCGTACATACCTGTACCCTGTTTATTTTAGCATGAAACTGGACTTGATGTGGGGACGTCTTGTACTGTACCCAGATACCGTCCTGGAAACTGCGGCGGATCATACGCTTATTTGGTTTGAACATCATCATATCTTTAAAGTTAACCTGTATAATAAAATATCATAATAAACATAAATATAGCACAATGTAGTTTGCCTTGTTTGTTTCGTTGGTTTCAGAGCAAGTTTAGTAACATTTCAATCTAAAAAGCTGAAAGAATTTAATGTATTCCAGCAAATGGTCTTCACAATATAATATGTTTATTCTTAAAGTGTATAAAGCTATATATTGCAGTATTTATCACAACATTTCTACTGTATGACTATCGCAATAAGGGCCGTTTTTGCATATTTTGACTTTTTGGTAATTTACGTGCATTGTATAAGCTGTTTGCAAAATTGTGAAAATTACTTTCTTTACTTAAGAAATAATATATCCCAAACTGTGATTTTATCGCTCAATAACATCACTGTTTGGAGTTCGGATGCGAGGAATTATATCACGAGGGCGTAGCCCGAGTGATATAATGATGCGCATCCGAACGACAAACAGTGATGTTATCAAGCGATAAAATCACCGATTTGGATATGTTGTTTCGATTCTAACACGACAACAACACATAAATGCTGCCAAACCTGATATTAACCTAAACTGCGCCTGATTTGTTTCCATACTTATTTTCAGTGTGTCACATTTTAGTGGTTACGTCAGTGTATAATGATTACGTCATATGTCTAAATATAGAATGTCAAACTGTGATTTTATTGCATAATAACACACACTTTCGGTTCTTCTATGTTCAATGGGGAAAAATGCGGGTCGTGTTAGAATTTTTCTTTGTTCACTTCACAATGTTTTACAAATAATTACATTTTTAAAATTTCCATGAAAATAAGCATGAATCTGGAGGCATGCTGCTTTTACAGTAATCATGTGAAAATGGCTTTTTCTGAGAATCTTGGCTCAAGTCTTTTTTTTTCTCCTTTTTTTTGTATAACAAATTGTGTATAAATAGGAAATTGATATCAATTTTGAGTGCATTGCTGTAGAATTATGCAAGGTTCAAGTTCAAAATGTGTAGGAATATAATTGCAAAGGCCAATATGCAAATAAGAAAGAGAATTGATAAAAATATGTTGAACTACATTGAGGGTAGAAATAATTTTCCTGATGTTATTTGGTTTATTGATGTTAAATAATATTATAACCCATTTGTTTTTAATGCTGTGCATACATCTTGCAATAGTGTGTATGACCACCCTATGCTTGATAGGGAATAGTGTGAAGCGTGTTAGAATATGTTTTTACCTCCATTTTGTCAATACGCAACATATCTGGGGGAGTATGTCCACCTAACTTCTCTGTTTCATATTTCTGGTATGCTGCCTCCAGGCCCAAACAATTCTTCAAGTTAAATGCCTTGTATCTCTTCCTCTTCTCTTTCCCAGATTATACCAGAACTAAAATATACCAGATTATGCTAGAACTAAAAATATACCATATTATGCTAGAACTAAACTATACCAAATCATACCAGAACTAAACTATACCAAATCATACCAGAACTAAAATATACCAGATTATACCAGAACTAAAATATACCAGATTATACCAGAACTAAAATATACCAGATTATACCAGAACTAAAATATACCAGGTTATATCAGAACTAAAATATACCAGATTTTACCAGGACTAAAATATACCAGATTATACCAAAACTAAAATATATCAGATATTTACCATACCCAAGATAAACCAGATTATACAATAACTTTAATATACCATAACTAAATATACTAGATTTTACTGCTGCATTTCTCTTTTCTTAAGGGTTACTTTATATCTACATTAAACCCTGGACATATCTCCCTATCAATTGGAGTCAAATCAGGAACATATTCAAATCTTCAACATACCTTGTTATTCCAAGGAAAGCCACCTCTTGTTGTTTATAGTTGTTAACCAATGATAGTCCCATTCCTTGAATGTTTAAGTTGATTTCCTGCTCTATCCTCTCTAACTCTCCAGCCTAGAAAAATCAACAATAACAACAATAAATTTATAATTTAGTATTATCATGTATTAATATACAGTCTAACTCGCCCATACAACCACGTGTATTAAGCGACTTTCGTCTTATGCGACCACTTTAAATTCCCCTGATCATTTTCTCTCTATATCTTTAATGTATTAAGCAACTTTTGCTCAATGCCACAGGTGACCACTAATTAGTCGGCCTTTCATTAAGCTACCACTTTTAGGATTAAAACACGGATTTTACTGCGGACAAATTCTAAAACCATAATGTTCATTTAATAATATCATCACATCAAAGATTTTTACCAAGTCACATCATCATATCTTAATACAAAATCATGTCATCCAATCTTAATATATTCATAAAATAATTTTTATATCATATCATAATAATTATATTCACAAAATCATGTCATCATACCTTTATGAAATCATGTCATCATATCAAAATACATTAATTAACTCATGATACCACATTTATATATATTCATTTACACATTATATTATATCTTAATATATTCATGTCATCATGTCATCATATCCTATATATTATTCATCATGTCAACCATATTAATATCATATCTCAATTGCATGTATATCATCTGAAAAGATTTATGAAAGTAAATTTCTGATATGCAGTCAAAATATTAAAACCTTTTACTATTACTTCATTTATCATATTTCACATGTTAATATATTTGAAGCAGATTGAAAGAGGGTCAATTATCTGCTAATATAAAGTGAGCGTTAGTGCCAGATTTCTTTTAAAAGACAGACTAAATTTGATCTAACTGGAAATGTTTCAATAGAACAAGGTTGCTCCCACATTCTACAGGACAGTGTTATGTATATCCACCCCGCACCTAATATGACACAAACATTCATACAATTATTTTTTTGTTATTATCCCTTTTTTAATACAGACAAAATAATACTTTCATTTTTCAACATGATCCTTACCCTGAAAAAACTTTGTGCCCTAAGTGTAGTAACAGGCTAACTCGTATCAAAATACAAATGTATGATAGGAGTTAACCCGATACTGCACTAACAGAACAATTATTGACAAGTTCCATAACTCTGCTAATTCATGTCACATAACATAAAACTAGAGATCAGACAAACAAGGGTAGATTTAAAAGAGGTAAAAAATACAAAAAAAAATAAAATCAAAAGCCATTTTAAACTTATTTTACTTTTGATTGATAATGATAATCAGTCTCAATTTTTTCCAAAATTTCCAATTTATTGTTCTTAATGGTACACAAGTGCACGTTTATTTATGGTTATCTATCTACCCAATCAAGTCATTTTTATAATTTTTGAGAATTTCACATAAAGAAGGTGAAGTCCAGTAGTATTTTATCTGAAAAAAATCACCCCGTCTTATGTGGATCTTGACAAAAACTGCTGTTTTTTAGTTAAAATTAGGACCCAGCCTTATAAGAAATCCGTCCTATCGTTTAGTACATATGGTAATGTTAAACTTCAAACATATTGTTGACACATACTAGTATATGCCAAACTACTTTGCCTATTTTAGATGAGAAACAAGTCATTTGAAGTTCTTGATGATGAAAAGACATTTAAAACATAAGATAAGTTAATAAGTTCTGTTCTAGGAACAAAATTCTTAGATTTTATGACTAAAAGCAGAAAAAATATTAATATAATTTTAGGAGTGACTAGAATTTTTCTTCTATTTAAGTACTTTACAACCTACAAAATACTTATACAAAAGAAAAGGTACCACTATGTTGAGTAAGACAATGCTGTCAGTCACCAAAACCAGTGACCTTGACCAGCAAATGTGACCTTTCACCTTGTGACCTATTTTAAATCTACTACAAATTGTTCAGGACTATTCTTTCTAAGTAAGACAGGATTTTGCTCTAAAAACAAACTACTGTTCTAAAAATAACCTATTTAACTTAGTCTTTCTTGTCTAAAAAACTTAGATTAATCACAAAGCAAACACTACAATGAAAGAAGATGGTGTAAAAAAAAAAAAAGACTAGTGCTTGTCAAATAGCTGACACACGTCAAATTGTAGTACAATAAACTCGTGTAAAAAAAACTCGACACACTTCAAATTGTAGTACAATAAACTCGTGTAAAAATCTCGACACACTTCAAATTGTAGTACAATAAACCTCGTGTAAAAAACTCGACACTACAAAACAACACAAGATGCAAGAATATCATTTTATAATACTGTATATCCATTATGAATCAGCACCTGGGTAGAACCATTAATGTTTTGTATGCTAGCTCGACAGCTTCCGCACATGAAAGAATCCAAAGTCCCTGGCAGGATTCAAACCTACCATGGTGAGGGGCAAGTGGTTTGATGTTGCACTTATTCATTATCTCTCTTGTACAGACTCATTTAAACCCAGTCAGCAATTTTCATGTAATTTTGTTGTGATTAAAGCTTCCGACCGATCACTTTGTTTCCAGGTTGCTTTTGTAGTAAAGTGGTTTGGGTAAGGATGCCCTAAAAATCTATAAAATTGTTTTGTTAAAATTTCTATTAGTATTTGATGCTATCTTTCAATTTAGAAAAAAGTCTTGCATCTGTGTTTAAAAATAAAACAAAAATAAACAACCTGTGACTTTTTATATAACTGAAATCAACAAAGCTAAACAAATATAAATAACTGTCATACTTTTGATAAAACAAATTCAATACATCAAAATATGAATACGGGCAGAGATGTAAATATCTATGTCTCTGATAAGGGGACAAAATTCTTAATGTAATTCCCATTTCTCTGATTGGGGACAAAATTCTTAATGTAATTTCCATGTCATAAAGAAGTCTCAATTTCTAAAACTTTCTCACTCAGTATTTAAATATCTACTCAATTTTTTGATTACTGAACTGGCTAGAATTGACTTTTTGTTACTATTTGTTTGTATCATTGAGTTTTATGTCACACCAACACAGTATAGGTCATATGGCGACGTTCTAGCTTTACTACTGGAGGAAGACCTCAGGTGCACTTCTGTGCATTATTTCAGGCACAAACAGGCACCAGAGTAGAACCATCGACGTTTCGTAAGCTAGCTGGATAACTTCCTCACATTAATGTTATTATTTGAGCATGCAAAAACTGGAATTTTAAAGAAATGACCAATTATACTGGAACATGCAGGAATACTGGAAAAATAGGAACATCACAAAATGATACTATAAATAGAAAACCAATCAGCTGCTTGTGGAATAAAGTAACTATAAATAACTGACCAATCATTCGCTGAATCATGCATGAATACAGGAACTATATTTAACTGACCAATCATCTGCTTAAACATGCAGGAACACAGGAAATGTGATAAGAATAAAATGTTACTATAAATAACTGACCAATAACTTACCTCTTGAGCAATGGTTGCTAGAGCAAGGTCATGAGTGAACAGAAGAACTCTCTGCATGCCATTGAGGAATGATACCCAGTAAACTTTTGTGTCAGAATTGAAGAATACTTCTCCTATACCATCCTGTACAATATAGGAATACAGAAGAAAACCATAAAAATACAAGTATAATAAAATATCTTGACACATACAAGTAGGTAAACTGATTGCACAAAGAAGTATAAATATTGAAGGTAATAAGTTTAACTTAGGACTCGGACCTTAATTAATGAAGTTATTGTGCATGCACAAAAAAATTTGAATTTTGAGCCTGTCTTAAAACAGATCAAAACATTCAAATTACACCTTTGATATAGGTATTCTTGGTAAACTATCTTAGTTTTCCCCCATTTTTTTCTCATTTGATAAAGAAAACCCACATAATGTCATGTACAGAATGTTCAGCTCCTAAGGAAGGGAGAACTGCAGGTGCCAATCTGCACATTATATCAGGCACATGCTGGAGCAAGAGTTGCAAAATCTTAGTACATATAAGTTAACTAAACAGCAACAAATCTTTCTCACAGGATTCAAACCCAAAGGAATGGGTAGTAAGAAATCCACATTAACCACTCTGACATGGAAGCAAGCCCGTAATATCATCATTTCAGATTTAAAACTGTAGGAAATTATTTTCAAATTTTATACAAGCCTCCTTCTGTAATCTAAAGTAAAACAGACCTGAGAAAGATCATTTTTCACGTCTTTCTTCTCGCCACAAGTCCAAAGTATCTCCCTCTTGCCGATAGAGTCCTCCCATGTGTACAAGCCTACCATTGACGGTCCCATTACATGCACCAGTTTACCGGACCCACTAGAAAAAGAATACGGACATTGTTAGAATATCACTTATCCGGTCTACCAGATCCACTACAAAAGAGTATTGACATTGTTATAATATCACTTAACCCACTAGAAAAGAATATTGACATTGTTATAAAATCACTTTACCAGTCTACCAGACCCACTAGAAAAGAATATTGACATTGTTTGAATATCACTTAACCGGTCTACCAGACCCACTAGAAAAGAATATTGACATTGTTAGAATATCACTTAACCGGTCTACCAGACCCACTAGAAAAGAATATTGACATTGTTTGAATATCACTTAACGGACTACCAGACCCACTAGAAAAGAATATTGACATTGTTAGAATATCACTTAACCGGTCTACCAGATCCACTAGAAAAGAATATTGACATTGTTAGAATATCACTTAACCGGTCTACCGGATTCACTAGAAAAGAATATTGACATTGTTAGAATATCACTTAACCGGTCTACTGGATCCACTAGAAAAGAATATTGACATTGTTAGAATATCACTTAACCGGTCTACCAGATCCACTAGAAAAGAATATTGACATTGTTTGAATATCACTTAACCGGTCTACCAGACCCACTAGAAAAGAATATTGACATTGTTAGAATATCACTTAACCAGTCTACCAGACCCACTAGAAAAGAATATTGACATTGTTATAATATCACTTAACCGGTCTACCAGATTCACTAGAAAAGAATATTGACATTGTTATGAATATCACTTAACCGGTCTACCAGACCCACTAGAAAAGAATATTGACATTGTTTGAATATCACTTAACAGGTTACCAGACCACTAGAAAAGAATATTGACATTGTTTGAATATCACTTAACTGGTCTACCAGACCCACTAGAAAGAATATGACATTGTTAGAATATCACTTAACCAGTCTACCAGACCCACTAGAAAAGAATATTGACATTGTTATAATATCACTTAACCGGTCTCCTTAAATCACATCATGTAGATATCAGTATCTGTCCAGACACTTGGTACTGTAGTGTAGACAATTTAGGTAATTTTTATACCCTCTTTGTCGAGCCCTCAGATATAAGTGTCAATACAATCAGAAATACACAAACTAGTTCGTTAGTTAGGAGAAGAACCAAGGTGAACTGTGTCAAACTTTTAGGTCTCTAGGTTAAAAATTATGAAATCTGTAGGGAAAAATGTTTAAAAGTGTCTTGTTGATGGTCCCCGGCCAGCAGAAAAGAATATTGACATTTTGTTAGAATAATAGTTTAAGTATCACAGGACCACTAGAAAAAATAATTAATTTTTAAAAATACCACAGACATTTTTCTAATAATCTCAATTGACAATATTCCATGAATTCCCAAAAAATTTGGAAAATAAAACTTTCCCAAAAAGGGAAAGCTGGAAAAAAAATATTTTAAATTCAGCAGGGTAAACAGTTAAAACATTATTTCTTTCAAAATGATTTAAAAAAAAAAGAGTATTATTTGCTCATGACAGAAATAAAAATTTAAAATTACCTTTGTTGATATGAAATATTGCACTTATCAGTTTGGTTTATGATTAGGACGGTTGCCATGCCAGTCTTGTAATTTGTCAAGGTCGTTACTACCGACGATTCTGTCTCCTGACATTCCACATTGATACCTCCGTACTGAAATATAATACAACAAACTGACATTCTTGCTTTTTTATCTTTACTGAATAACTATGCATTCTTGCATATCAGACAGGTTTTATCTACCGTTTACACTGGTGCTAGGAAAACCTGTCTTACACTCCCCCATGTAAGACAAGTTGTGTGCTTTTAATGACGTCATTGTTGACGCCTTTTATGAATCCATAGTGTTCTAAGGATGACGTCATTTTACTGTTATGAATGAAGTTTGTAAGTTCATACGCTATTACAAGAAAACAATGTGTAATGAAAATATTAGTTTTTGTAATTGCTGTTCCAAAAACAATTGACATGTAATCTGCAAGAAAAAGAATCAAACACCGGCTGTGGGTACAGATGGGAATATCTAGCTCTCGGGTAACCAGTAGAAACTCTGCAAAGTTATCACCGTAAAGAGTTACCGTCAAGCTAGATATTACGGTCTGTACCGGCAGCCAATGTAAGATTCTTATAACCTGTCCTATAGGGCCTATACTGAAATACAATGTAACCTGTCCTGTAAAGTGTGAGGGACATACTGACAATGATGCTGGGGTTGAGAACAATATATTGCTCCCTATTCTTCAAATAGTCAGGCTAAACATAGCATTTCCACAAAAATAATTCCAGACACTGTATAATCTCTTTTTTTATGAGCATTTTTAAGCCATGCCATTAATGTTAAGGACAACAATGTTGATAACGTTTTCAAATGGATGTTCTTACCTCATTATCGAGTTTGAGTAGTGTAGAATGGGGTTTATTGAACAGGAAATGACTTGTACATATATCTGTATCCTTGACCTTTGTTTGCATTGTCATCTCCTTGCCCGTCTGCATTGGCCAAACTGGAACACACTGAAATATAATTATTACCTTGGTTACTCTGTTTTCATTTATCTTACTGTCAAATTTGTTCTGATTTTACTACATTAATCTGTCAGCATTGTTTATTTATCAAATAAGGCTTATTAACAACAATTGAAATTTCATGGCAACATGACTTTTTAAAGTATGATTTGGTCACATTGAACCGGTAAAAGTAATAAGGTTGAGAAAGGCCTATACGTGCATTTTTTTCAGGCATAACAAGGAAGCACCTGAATAGAACCACCAATCTTGCATTACCAAGCTTACTATCTTCCTCACATGCAAAATGCATGACTCAAACCCAAAGGAGAGTAAGGGCAAGTCATTCAGTCAACAATAAAAACAACTGGGCCATGTAAGCCCCTCCCTGTATGAATTTATATGAAAATTTCAAGTGTCACAAATTTGCTTTATTTAGACAAAATTATCATGACAAAGTTCAAAACTCTCCTTTTCTCTGAATCCTACCTTAGCTAGTTGCTGTAGTATTATAAATTTCTGTTTCCAACATTTTTATCATTTTGTTTTATTTATCAACTAATTGGTCCCTAAATTTTTTTTTATCATTTGTGGCTATATAATCATGGATGTAATTTAAAAGAACTATTTTACCTCTTTTGATGGTATTTCGATCCAATCACTGTCGGCACTATTTTCTTTACACAACAAGGTGTATGGAGACGTGTTAACCAGCATGTAGTATGGTGTAAATATTACCACCTTGGTAAGACCAGAGTTTGTTAACTGTATACTAACACCAACCTGAAACAAGAATATTTAACATAAATTATATGTTTGTTAACTTAAAGTAAACCTGTCTTTCATTTATACAGGTGTAATGTTTTAGAACTGTAACAAGGTGAGAAAAATGTGCAGCCTGACTGGACTTGAACCTGGGACACTCTACCAACTGAGCTATCCGGCTGCTTACACATCTTCTCCCCTAAATAGTGAACAGTTCTGAACCAGGACATAATAACTCCCCCGGTGGCTATATACGAAAATTCGTCCTCGAATTTCTTAAGTTTTTACAGAAAGCACAATGTGAAATTTAAATAATGACAGTTTATTAAACTGTATGAACAGAAATAAGCAACTCACCTCCCAAGTTCTTGTTTTATTTTTGCTCTGGACAGTTCCTGAACTTCCCACTACATCAAGGGAGAACTTGTCTGACCAATCACCTTCTCCCATCTTCAAAGAAGCCTGAAATATAAACCAATCATATTGTCTTTTACAAAATATACTTAACAACCTCAGCCAATCATATTGTCTCTAACTTAATTTTCTGAAATATCAACCAATCATGTTGTTTCTTGTATCATATATTTAAGAAAACAACCTCAGCCAATAATATTGTCCCTCTCTTAAACACCTGAAATATCAACCAATCATTTTGCATCTTGCATTATATACTAAACAGCCTGTCATTTGAAAAGGGATACTGCTAACTGACTGACACAAGTGGGTAAAAAATCAAAAGATAAACATCAATTCTAAATAAAAATTGCTTTCATATGTTAACCTTAAATGACAAGAAAATTTAAGTCTGCAAATATTAAGTTTAGAAAGGCATTATTTGTACTAGCTTGGCTCTTTTCTGAGTAGTAAGAATATAACAGAAAATGAACTTATATAGAATAAATGAGAACAAGACTTGTTCATTAAACAAAAAGGCACTCATCCAAAATTAAATAACATTACACAGACTTATATTTGCTTTTTTTTTAATTTTGGAAAATTGACCTTGAATGTTAAGGACATGAAAGGGTCAAGGTGATATTTCAAAATGAAGATACAAAACTCTTTTAGTCTTAGTGTCAATATATCCAAGTATATTGTATGACTCATGGGTTAAAAATGTTACAGCCAAAATTGATGCAGACAAAAGTACAGAATAAAAACAAGTATCATATCTCCCCCAGCAACTCTCAAAATCATTTGAGCCGCGTCATGACAAAACCAACATAGTGCGTTTGCGACCAGCATGGATCCAGACCAGCCTGCGCATCCGCGCAGTCTGATCAGGATCCATGCTGTTCGCTATCAGTTTCTCTACTTGCAATAGGGTTGGTAAGCGAACAGCATGGATCCTGATCAGACTGCGCGGATGCCCAGGCTGGTCTGGATCCATGCTGGTCGCAAACCCATTATGTTGGTTTTGTCATGACACGGCTCATTTATCAATGACATGGCATTTTAAAAGATGAAAGTTAGTGACAGATAAGAAAAAATAAATAAACAAAAATCATGAAAAAAAATAATAAATAAATCATGTAACACTGATGCATGTTAGGTTTATATTGACAACAATTTACAGATTACATGGGTGCATTTAAGAAAATAAATACAATGAACAAGAAGAAATAAACAATAACAACACTTCATGAAATGGAAAACAACCTGGAGTTATAAATGACATGTAAAAAAATCCAAAACAACAAAATAAAACAAGGAGGACAAGCACTGTTTAAACATATGAAGATATACAGTCCAACCTCGGTTATTCGAATTGCTGGGGACTGAAAATTTACTTTGAATAATTGATGGGTTCGAATAATCGAAATCCGAATATAGTGATAGACGACAACTATTCAACTTTGAGCATAAAGTTCTTATCTTTGAAAACATGATAATATAATTCCTTAGTGGTTTGTTTTTATGTCAGATTACTTTAAATACTATCTTGTATTACAGACTCTCCATTATAGACCAATTCACTTTAATACAATACAGAGGCACCTACACAGATTTAAAATCATTTCTTACAATGTCTATCATCACCAACATTGCAATGTAAATTTTTCTAGCATAAAACCACAATCTGCCATGACACATACTTCCTGTAGCATATAAATAATTAAAATCTATGGGTGCTTTATAATAGATCCTTAAAAAATATTCTATCATACACTCAACATACTATAAGCAACAAGAGCTCTCTGTAAGACAGTGTATGCTCGACTATTTTCAGTGCTTGGTAGTAATAAAAGGGACATAACTCTGTAAAAAAGATAACTCAGAGTTATGGGACCTGTGTCCATCATATATCATAAATCACAGAGAACAAGTGTGTGACGTTTCAACCAATTTCCTTCAGTAGGAGATACCAACTTGCACGCAAAAACTTAACCGAATTGTGAAGGCGACACCTATGCCAGCGTAAGTACAATAGCTTTCCTTATTCTCTAATAGTCCATATATAAACGATAACAATTTTGATGCTGATGCATGTATCAAAAATGTCTATGATCAATTTCATGTGCACTTTGTCTATACAAGGTGTTGCAATGTTAGTAATATAGTATTAGATTTACAATATACAGAGGATATTGAATCAGTGAAGGTTCAATACTAAATTTATTGAACAGGTTGAATAAAATCATAGTATGCAAAGCCTCTAGTGAGAATATTATTGATTTATTCAAAGAGTTCAATAAATTTAATATTGAATCTGCATGAAAATAATATTCTATTTATCACATATTCAAAATCAGAACGGTTTACAGTTAAAAAGAGCCATTTTTCACTGATGCCCCAATAAAGTTATGCCAACATTAGCGCATTTTAACTCTATGTTTGTATATAAGTCAAATGATGTCACGTCAAAGTGTTATAACACTAGTGTAATATTGTTTTTTAATAAATGGCTTTTAATACACCACTGCTGCATAGTTTATGTGATAAATGTAAATATCAACTAAATATAATGCTTAATAACAAGCCATGCAATAACAAAAGTCTAAAATCACTAAATAACATTAATAAAAGCATAATAATAAAAATAACAGCAACCCTCAAGAGACAGATCAAGGCTTTTAAATCACTATCTAGTTTTCCTCCATTCTAAGCGGCATTAACTTATTTCCCTACAGATGCTTTTCACATAGCAATTATTACCTCCCCTGGCCGCCATTTTGAGGGTCATTTCCGAAAAATCATATGCTTAAGATGAGATAAAAATATCTCATAGTACTATCATCATCATGAAAAATGTTAAAAACCTTTAACATTTTGGTGCTATAATAAACGTTCCTTCATATGTATATAGGAACTTCACAATGCACATAAATCAGCTGTTTTTACTAATTTTCTCTTACTTTGTCAATGATATATAGAATGACCTCCAAAATGGCTGCCACTTTTGGCAAGGGAGGTAAATATTGTAAAACTCAGGAACTATTTACAGGTAAATATTAGTTTCTCTACAACAAGAGCACCATATACGGTGTTAACGCTTGTCTGGTAATATGACCACTTTCGACAAAAAGTCAAGGTTAAAAAGGGGCATAACTCCAAAAATATAACTTTCAGAATAATGCCCCTTGGGTTTTAACTGCCTCTTGTCATGATAAGCAAATATTCCAAGTTTCATATCGATACCTTTAAAATTGTTTGAGTAATGGCCTACATTTAAGTTTTTGCACAACAATGAAGACTATGATGACAACGGTGACACACAGCCATCATAATTACTCAACATTCTCTTTGAAACCGAACAAGTTAAAAATCAGCAGAAGATTATTAGTAAAAGTAACATCAAAGAAATTGTCTTATTAAATATATGATGACACCCAAGGACTTGAATTCACAAAATCCACAGTCTGTAGCCCTTACTTCTCTTCATAGCAACAAAAGCAGGTGGACTGATAAATAATAAGTAGGTGACAAGCAAATTTTATAACCACTGCATCATAATTATAGAAGGCAATAATCGCAAAAAAAACACACCAAAAACATCCAAAGAACTGTTTTGAACAATAAAAAAAAAAATCTGAAAAAGCATACAAAATTTTTGCAAAAGCAAAGTATAAGAGAAAAATTAAAATATAAATGATGCGGTGCCATTCTTAACATACTTTTCCACTTTGTTTCATTTCCTTCACTTTTTGTTTCTTTGCATCTTTCTTTCTCTCTAGTGTGTCTTTCTTTCTATCCAATGTATCCTTCTTTCTATCCAAGGTGTCCTCCTTAAAGTTGTGTGTGAATAATGATTATACCACTGTGCTATACAATGATGTTATACCATTGTGCTATACAATGATGTTATACCATTGTGCTATACAATGATGTTATACCATTGTGTTTTTTAACTGTGCTTACCACAATGATTTTATACCATTGAGTTATATTTGTGTTTACCACAGTGATTGTTACACCATTGTGTTTAAAAAATGTTTACTGCAATGCTGTTACACCATTGTTTTAAACAGTAATTACCACATTGGTGTTATACCATTGAGTTATATTTGTGTTTACCACAGTGATTGTTACACCATTGTGTTTAAAAAATGTTTACTGCAATGCTGTTACACCATTGTTTTAAACAGTAATTACCACATTGGTGTTATACCATTGAGTTATATTTGTGTTTACCAAAGTGATTGTTACACCATTGTGTTTCAGCAGTGTTTACCACAATTTTGTTACACCATTGTGTTTAAACCATATTTACCACAATGATGTTATACCATTGTGTTATATTAATGTTTACCACAATGATAGTCATATCAAAGTGTTAAAGCAGTGTTTACCACATGCTGTTACATCACTGTGTTTAAAAAATGTTTGCCGCAATTTTGTTACACCGTTGTGTTTAAACAGTGTTTACCACAATGATGTTATACCATTGTATTGTAATAAGTGTTTACCCCAATGATTGTAATGCCATTGTGTCTAAACAGATTTAACCACACTGCTGTTATACCAATGTTTACCACCATAATGTAATACCATTGTGTTTTAAATAATGTTTACCACAATGATGTAAAATCATTGTGTTCCAACAGTTTACCACAATGATATACCACTGTGCATCATAAGTGCTTACCACAATGTGCTTTAGTGGTGCCTTGTTTATTTCATCTATTAGCAAGGTATTAATGCATGTAAATAAATAATCTGTGATTCAAATGGGGAAATAAATATTGGTGCGGGTAATGTTATGACAATGAAAATCCTTAATTAAATATAAGTATTTCTTAATCTGATGAAGCAAAAAAAAAAGGTTTTGTAATTTAAAACATGTAACCGACACTGCCTGACTCTTGAATATCACATCTACATAAATGAAAAACATTGTTAGAGTTCTTAAATCTATAACAGTTAAAGGACATTGGCGTCACTGCTTTTGTAAACCTACTGTCATTTTGAATCTGAACTTACTGCACATTCAGGCACTTAAAAGTACCAACCCCTTACCACTGAATCTATTGAATATAATATTGTACAATACACCTGTAAGCCTGCCAAATTTACTCGTTATACGAGAGTGGCAGATTTAAACTTCTGGCCTACTCATCCCTAAAATGACCATAAAAGGCTGGCCACCAATCAACTCACCCATAAAATGGCCGTAAAAGACAGGCCACCAAGCAGATTTAACAAATATTCATAAAAGCAATTGTGAGATATTTGTAAAGAAGAAATATGCTGATATTAAAAGGCTTGGACAAAGAAAATGATGTTGCCAGCATTCTAAATAAAGGCGATCAGCACAAAAAGGGCAATAAAAATGATGTACCCCTATCCAATAAAAGGCGATTAGCAAAAAAGGGGCTATTAAATCTAACTGTCATGGCCTGAAAGCTTACATGCAAAGATCCCATGTAGTTAAAATAAAGTGATGTGCCAAAGCTAGATTCTGAGACATTTTTGCTTTGGGTCAGAATCTTGCTTCTAGAGGGGAGATATTGCCCATCCACAAAATAGCACAATATCTCATCTTACAGTCTAAGATTTTTTATGCAAAGATCATGACAAGAAGTATTAATTTCTTAAATCCATATTGACTTTTGTGGACTTTGTTTTGATGGTTATTACACTGCACCAAGTGTATATAAACTATTGTGTATTAAATATAGGGGTGCCTTTTTAATATGCTCACTTCTTTCAATTTGTTTTTTTTTTACCCAATAAATATATCGATATAGCCTTGAATACTAGCAAATCACAAATAACACAAACTGCCTTTTGAATAAGTATTTGATTTTCTAATTTGTTATCTTTTGTTCTTGATTTAAAAAATGATCCCATATAAAAAATCATAAACACCATGACTTACATGTAAATAAACAGTAAATGTTGCTTTAGTTTTCAGAAACCATTATACCAACATGTTTTTTATTACAAGTTATCAATAGCATGTTAAGGCAAAATCACACATTAATAAAAACATTTAGCAACTTTGTTTGAAGAAACCTATATGAAACTGGCCTCATTTAATACTGACTGTACAATTTTAACTCTTGTGTCGGGTATTACCTCGCCTGATACAGGTTCGTGTTGATCATAAGACGGCGGTCTGCTTTATCATCATTAAAATGACTTTTCTATTAGACAGGTTAGTTTGTTTAACAATTGCCAAAGTGGTGAGAATGTTCATATGAAATTACTTACGGCTGATATCTTGTTTACATTTAGATATACAAATTTTAAGTGAAAAGGTTAGCACTTTAAAATAGAATCACAGCAGTCAAATCTCTCACAATACCAATGTTGTTTCTGCACAAAAAACAGGCATACATCTGTCAGAAGGTAATACACAATTCATTATTCAACAAAAATATGTAATGGTCATGGAACCATGGTTTATTTGTCAACAAATTATTTATTTAGATACTGTTGTTTTAAAAATGTCCTCGTCCAGAACTAATGTTTTAAAATGGTCTGTACATTTTTTTTCTCCTAGGCGATGCAAGATAAATTAATATTTAGCTATCATCAATTTTTATTCTTTTTTTTATTCACCAAGAACCACAAATTAAAGTAAGCATTTGTTTAAACAGATGCACAAATAGCAGAATGTTTAGAGGTAAAAAAGCCCTTTTCCAGCATTTTAACCAGCCAACGCTTAATTATGATGCTACTCAGCTACCAAAAGCTAACATAATAGATTCTCAATAAAATGCAACACTTTGCAAAGGACCCCACTTTAGAAGTTCAAAGTGTGATCTATTGAGTAGTCAAAACCCATGGAATCAAATACAAGTGATTGCCCAATCTACTCTTACTAATACTTTCTTATTTTATACATGCTATAAATTTGACCATAATATAATGCCATTATTTCAATTACTGCTTTCCCCGATCACAAATTGTAAATTATGCATATTTTCTTCTGTCTTAATGAATTTGTGCACTAAATACAGTTTATTGCAACATAATTATGTTACATTTTATATAATAATTGTACCACCACATCATTGTTTATATCTCTTTTTCATCATGCTATATTATACTACTCGAGTGAAATTTAGCTTATGCCAAGGATTGCACCAGGTTTAAGTCACAATCCATTAGTCTTAGAGCAACATACAAGTAATAGGCTAATATACCCTTACGAATGACCTTTTTTTTATTATAAACTACTATCATAAGTCAATCAGATATGCATAATATTCTCATATATATCATTTTTATTATAAATAAACTATGTCATAGGCTCTATAATGAAAATTGGGTGAAACTAATGTTACCTTATTATTCTTAGAGTAACAAAGAATTTTCTTGAATGAAAACATGACAATATCCTTGAGGTCCGATGGATGATCTACTGGGTCATCATCACCAGCCTGAAATAGAAAATTAAACAATCTGAAATAGTTATCACAGTCTGAAATATTAAATAAAATAATCTGAAATATAGTCAACATAGCCTGAAATAGAAAATAAAATAACATGAAATAACATATAAAATGATTCTTATAATATTCTTGAGCAACTGCGCATCACAAATTTAGTTCAAGTGACGTCTTGAGTCGAGGATTAAATTTATTGACAAGAGCTGTTTGATACGTAAAGATCTGTTCATGTGGTAGGTAAAAAAGTGCCATGAACTCGATTTCACTTTGATGTTCAAACTTAGCGAAGTTGAGAAACTTTAGGCATTTCGTTGCTCAAATCACCCACTTACAAGAGCCCTGTTTAATACTTGGACTGAACAAAGTGATGGATGAAAATGGTTTAGAAACATAGGTGATTTATTCTTATCCACTTTACCAATATTATGTACCCAGAACAGGTTTAATGATTCCAAATGATTAAACAAACTAACCTTGTATTGAAGTAATTTTCTGTTTTATTGATCATCCAGTAGGGACTGTAGACTGACACATCTAGAACACCAGGTCCCTGTTTATAATGTAGACCTAAATCCTGAAACATTTACAGAAAAAACATTAGTACAAAACATTTCTAAAGATTTCCTCATAATATTTAATGTATTTTGTTCGTTTTTCTGATTTTTACACCAATTTTAACATATTTTTAGTCATATCTCGGAAGTCAATATTTTTGGTCATATCTCGGAGGTCAATGTACTGAACCGTCTTTCCTGGATAACTAACCAGTAATTACCAATTTCTTGGCAAGTGACCGACTACTACTTCCACATTATTTCTGAGTAAGCAGTGATAGACAAATGACCATAAGACTAAATGTCAATTATCATGGAGAAATTATGCCACGCCTAAGGGTGGAACCAATGACCTCTTGATTACATATTATATGCTCCCAATACTGAGCTACCGGTAGGTAGGCCCACATATTCAATGTGGTAAAAGTAAAAAAAATTGCATTTGATAGACTATAGTCCAAGTTTCATACATATGGTACACTCACGGCCTAAACAGACTTGACTCAACACTCGTCAATAATTGCTTTCATTCTGGGGAGTCTTTCCCTTCCCTAATGGTAGCCCATATTATGGAGCCACATCATTATACTGCTATCTCAGGTACTCATTAACACTTGAATAAAACAATGCAATGAAGAAATTAACTATTTACTCAAGTAAACAGCAATGGCCCTGATCAGATTTGAACCAGCCTCCTGGCCATTACTACCTTTGATTTACATGACACAAGGAAAGTTTTTACGCATGAAATCATAAATAAAAGCTGCCTTCATAAATTTTACCATGGTTAATTTCTTGTTGCTTTTGTCATAAGCTTCGAACGTCCACACTGATAATTCTGGTATATCCACTTCCAGTAAACGTCTTCCAATCCATTCCATGCCCTGGTAATCTGGTATCTGTAAAATAACATGCAGGATACATTATACTGGTCTGTTTCAAGCAGTAAACACCGGACAAAATATTTTGAGCACTGAAAATAACATTCATGTGATGTCAAATGGAAATATTCTATGTAACAAATACAGGGCTTTATTCTATAGCAGTGACTGTCTATAGGTAGGTCTATAGCTTTGCTTCCTGAAAAGTCTTTAAAATCATGTGCTTTCCTCAAAACTTTATTCCCCTATAGTAAAATACCATGCTATTTTCCCCAAAAATTTAATGGCAGGGCTACTTCCCCCTACCCGTAATTAAAGCCTGGCCCTGAAATCTTATAAAATAGCAAAAAGACATTAACAATCATGAAATAATTATAGCACCAAACCATTGGGTCTGACAGCTTCTATATTGCTGGGTGGTCAATTTTAAGTATTTTATATTCTTAACCTCCCTAAAAATGACAATGAACTTTTCCCTAAATTTTAAAAACCAGGACAAGTCCATTATTAATATACAAATTCAGGATATGTGTATACTTACTGTAATTTCAATGTTTGTTTTCCAACACAGGCATGATCTAGTGGTATATTACTGCCCTGTCTAACTCAAAGTTATCTCCTCTGTACCCTAAAAAAACATTAAAAGGTTACCTAAACATCTTATTCTCTACAGAATATATATATTTACATGAGAAATTTTTTATTTAAAGTTGAAGGTTTTACGTAAAGAATGACCTGTTAGGGAAAAACTTCCAAGATTTTAACAGAGTAAAAATAAAAAAAGTTCTTTGACCTCTGACCCCATTACATTGACAGAAAGGTGAAGGTCATTTTAAAGTTACATGACCTTGACCAAAGGAAAAAATGTCATGAATGTCAAGTGGAAGGTTTGTTTCCTTTGACAAGAACATTTCTTAGTCATGTAAGATAAAACCTTGATGATCATGGCACTTACCTTTGCATGACCTTGACCTTGTATGCCAATAAATCATGCAATACTAAATTAATTCTTTTTTTTATTTTAAATAAAATGACCTTTGACCTACTTGACATAAAATCATAGGTCAACATGATGCTTACCTGGAGCAAGACCTTGACCTTGTATGGTAAAAGATTATGCAATATCACAGTGGGATAAAGGTGAAAAGGTCGTTGACTTGGCAGAGGGAGTATCACCAGTCTCATAATATACTGTCTCAATATCGGCCCTGACCTACAAAAAACATATAAAACATTTATAATTACTGTCTCAATATCGGCCCTGACCTACAAAAACATATAATACATTTATAATATACTGACTCAATATCGGCCCTGACCTACAAAAACAAATAATACATTTATAATTACTGTCTCAATATCAGCCCTGACCTACAAAAACAAATTACATTTATAATTACAGTCTCAATATCAGCCCTGACCTACAAAAACAAATAATACATTTATAATATACTGTCTCAATATCGGCCCTGACCTACAAAAACAAATAAAACATTTACAATTACAGTCTCAATATCAGCCCTGACCTACAAAAACAAATAATACATTTATAATTACTGTCTCAATATCTGCCCTGACCTACAAAAAACAAATAATACATTTATAATTACAGTCTCAATATCGGCCCTGACCTACAAAAACAAATAATACATTTATAATTACTGTCTCAATATCGGCCCTGACCTACAAAAACAAATAATTTATAATTACAGTCTCAATATCTGCCCTGACCTACAAAAACAAATAATACATTTATAATTACTGTCTCAATATCTGCCCTGACCTACAAAAAAACAAATACATTTATAATTACAGTCTCAATTTAGATAGTGATAAAAATCTAATCATTTTCCAAACTTTTAATACTAATACAAAGCAATAACTCTTGATTGCTGTTTTATAGGCATACAGTCACAAGTGTTTATATAGTTGCAAATATGACAAACCTACAAGAAAGGTTGCCAATATATAGATATTACATCCAAGTGAGGACAAAAGAGTGAAATATTCAACTGAGACAAGGCAATAGTCAAGATTGACATTATCTTGTTGAGGGTAAAGATTTTGCTATATAACCCACAGTATGATATGATATTTAATTCAATTATACCAAAGGAATTGATTTTTCAAGTGAGACATTTAAAATATAATAACTTATAACTAAAACTTGGAGCCCAGTATGCACTTGTAAATTGTAAGCAGGCAGAAAAGTAATGTTGCCATGTGACATTATGGCTTGTTTCCCTCTAATAATAAGGTTATATTGTAAATAAATCATTTGAAGTAGTATAAGTCAAGCAGTGGATTAGGATTAAGACAAGTTCCTCAGAAATTAAACATTTATAAACCAATATTTATTGCAATTAACACACAAAACTCACGCAATATTACACTATATGAACAGACCTACCTTGAAGTAGAAAGGCTCATGTCCTGGGCCAGCCTTACACATCAACTGTTTCAGTCCCATATTTTCCGCACCCTTCCAACTTATTGGGTCACTTAACTCATCACATCTACGTAGGAAAAATAAGAATTTACAATGATTATACTGCTTAAAATTAAAAAATGTGTCTTATCAAAACCAGATATATCTTTTAAAACAAACTTCATTCTTTATATCCATGCCAATAAAGGACTATTTACATATTCTCTACTGAGTGGCTATAAATAGATTCAGTTCAAAGAGAGGCTTTACATGTATATATAGCTATACATGTATATATATATATTCACTTAAATGATGTAAATACACGCTATATACACATAAATTGAGTAGCTATAACCATAGCGCTACATCGTAGATTACACAGAGAGTAAAGTGTGACATCCTTATAGTTAAAATTTGTTGCCACAAAAAGCATTTTTCAACATGTTAACATTTTGCATGTTTCCTTTTTCTAAAATCGTTCCTTACCATGTCCTACCATCTTGAATTTGCAACAAAAATCGTAAATCATGAATATAAAGTAGCAAATATGCAAATGACATACTAAAAATAAGATTCATTTAAAATTTGGTTCATTGAAAGCCGCCGTTCCTTGTTGATCTTGTTTATCATATTTTACAAAAATCAAAAATAGATTCCTACCCATCTTTGATAGGTTTAAACATGAACTGGGCAGATTGGGGTGTATATTGTATGTAACGGTAGACTGAAAAGTTCTTCTGGACTGACTGAAGATATCGGCAAGTTTTCCGGACGCATCCTTGAAGAAAACATCTACTGGAACTGTCAGATGGTTCATCACCTAATAGAGAATCAAATAATAATAAACAATATATTAAAGAACAAAACAAATTTTCCTTAAAAAAGGAACACAGCACACACCTATTGCACATGTTTGTGCAAAGTTGATTATTCATTAAAACACAATTAAGGCAAAATGTACATGAATTTTGTCCTCAATGTGTACACGTTACATAATTACATTGGATAAAGACAATGTTACTTTAATGATGATTTATGCCACAAAGGTAAAAACTAACCTGCTGAATTTCAGACTTTTTGATATAAAAAGTCCTTCATATTAGTAACTGACTGTTGAAATGTTATTAACAATGAGCAAGTCTGTTCATTAAATTTATTTGTTTATTTTGTTTGGTTTTACGACCCACCAACACAATTCAACAAATTTAGCATGGTAACAGTTTAATCGTTAATATTGTCTTTAGAATCATATTTGATACCAGATCAAGACAGGATGATAAAATTGGCCCAAGTAACAATCTTGCCTACAGTGACCTCTGATTCTCTTTATGTGAGGAAGTTATCCAGCCAGATTACATGTATGTTAGGTAGGTGGTTCTACTCAGGTGTCAGCTTGTGTTTGAAAATAATAAACAGAGGGGCAGGATAGGTGCTTTAACTCATATGCTCATTCGTGCCTGAAATAATTCAGGGATGGGCAGCTGAGGTGTTCCTCAACCAGGGAAGCCCAAAAGTCACCAAACGTCCCTAAAAATGTTGGTATAACTTAAAACTGGACCTTAAAATATTTTGAGCAAGTGTCAACAAAAGAAAGTGTTTCAACAGTTTTTACATCAGCTCACCTGTACAGAAGATCTAAAAGTGACAGTTCTCTGTCCCAGGGACGTCTGTGTATCACAAACTATAGCCCATTGATCACCTGTCTTAGTTTCAACATGGAAAAGACGTTTTTCTGCACGCTTGATGGTTACCTCCCTTGTTGCATTAAAAACCTGTAAACAACATAACAGTTTTTTTTATTCAGAATTTATTTCAGTTTTGATTGTGTAGAAAGCTACAAGCTAATAGACACACATTCAATTCCATTCCTGGAAACAACCATTACTGAGCAATGAGTATAAAGTTTCTTGCTCAAGAAATGACTTGCCCCTGGGCATGGTTTTATGATTAGATAACTATTATTCCGACATGTTGACCATAAGGCCATGCCGCCACTTAACATACCAGTTATTTATGTTTACAATCTATTTATTTGTATTTTTCGTTTTGTAAACAAAACATAACTTCTTGTCATTCATTTGTAATCAAAACTCATTAATTTTTAATCTATAATATCATAATTTTATGTAATCTTTTATGAAAAAAAATCAGAATTGTAACACGACACACATTTTTCACTATTGAATGAACATAGAAGGAACAAAAGAATGTGTTATCATGCAATAAAATCACTGTTGACATTCTGACACCAGATCTGGTTGTTCCAGGAAGCAGACTTGAAAGTGATTAATATAAGTTGCAAGAACTTGTTTCGCAATCGAGCTTAGATAAATATGTATAAACCAAGTAGATAATCAAGAAAAAGCAGTGGTATACCTGAAAGATCATTTTCTTTTCATCAGAAGCAGTGGACGCCTTGATAACTGAAGCTTGTCTACGTAATTTCGGACCTTCTTTGTTCTTCAGAGGTAAAGTATCGCCAACTGACAGCTTTATTTTACCGTTTGCTGCATTTGGAGGGCTCTGTATAAAACAATATAAAACAATGTGAAGAAAACATTTTTTAAACCTATGTAGAAAACAGTTTGACAAAACTTAAGAAAGCATTGTTTGAATGAAGAAAACTGGAAATAAAATGTGTGAAGCTTTTGTAACAAGTAAAGAACTTTGGGACATAAATATAATGGGACAAGCAACTACAGTGACTTGATAAACAGTCTGATGTAGGCTGGTTGATGAATAAGCTTAGTTTTTAAATCATATATTTAGTCTGTACTGATAAAACATTACATTTAGTGTCATAAAATCATGTCAAAAACATCTAAAATTCTATTTAAATATCACACCATTTGCCATATATTAATTTTATTCATACTGTTTACATAAAACAAATACAAGAGCACTGAGCACGGCATGGGACGTAAACGCCTGTCTATTTAAATAACCCTTTGACAAAAATTGTAAGTTAAAAAGGGGCATAACTCCAAAATGTAGCTTTCATAATTATGCTCCTTGTGTTACAATTGTCATGATAAGCCAGTTTTCCAAGTTTCATATTGATAACTTTTAAATTGTTCTTGAAAAGGGCTACATTAAAGTTTTGCACATTGCCAACATCAACAACGACGCCGCAGCAACCATCGACAGATCTTGGTCTGTACTGGTGTATTGGTAAATCTATGTTGTCATTAGGTAGGCTAGGGGTAATAGATTATCTATAAAGAGTCAGGCACTGCAAATACTGTGGAATTTTAGACTCTCGCACTCCCGGAATAAGAATTATTTGGGTTTTTCACAGCTAATAATGTAGGTATAAACAAACTTTTACAGTTACAGCTTCGAAAATAAGTGAAACAGGTTGACAAATTAATCTAATGTGACAGGTAGTGCACAATGAAGCTATAACGGTAAAAGTTAGCTTGTACCAACAGATTAAGCTGGGAAAAACCCACATCTGCTGAGTTCGGGATAATGTTTATTTTGGGTTTTTACCTCGAAGGCATTGTCAAGCTTGAGCATTAGATCCTCTCCAGTGACATTCTTTATAACGTATGGTGTCATAACTTCTCCGGCTTTTAATGTAGGCTCTACCAAAGCATACGCATCCCCAAATGCCTGAAAAGTGAAATATTTCAACCCTTATATTTTACGGATATAGTGTCTGTGCTTGATTTTAATTGGCTCTTTTGCATTATTTGTAAAAACAACCTTTCAAATGCGTGAGAGTAATACGCATCCCTGAATGCCTGAAAAATACATCATCTTAACCATTACATTTTGCAGTGCCTTTACTTGATTTTCATTGGCTCTTTTGCATTATTGCAAGCAAATATGCATTATCTTTCAACACAAAGAGTATGAATATCTCTGATTAGTTCACAAAGGTAAAACATAATTAGTATCAATTTATTCAAATATTTCAAATTTATTTATCATGATCAATTTGTTGAAAATTAGGTAAGGCTCATTTGTAAACAAGAAATAATTTCATTTTTGTTAAAAACAGAATAAGGAATTATGTCCCTTTTTTGTAAAACAAAAGAAATGGCACCCAAGTCCATTATGATAGCATGTGTTTCAGTTTGTCTAATATTTTGTGAAAATTTTTCTCAAAACCTCTTTGACCAATTTATTTTAAAAATATAATAATAATAAATAATACCCTAAAACTATTTTAATTCATACTTATCCGAAGGTTACATTCTAGGCGATTTATCAAATATATTTAATGTTACTTTTTGTATATTTGTATTCAGAGTTTCTATAGAAAACATTCAACATATTACTTACCTTCCCTAGATTAGTAAGGCTTTCTAATATTTTGTATCTTTGTATTCAGATAATCTATTAGACTCATTCAACATATAACTTACCTTCCCTAGATTAGTAAGGCTTTCTAATATTTTGTATCTTTGTATTCAGAGATTCTATAGAATCATTCAACAAATTACTTACCTTCCCTAGATTAGTAAGGCTTTCTAGTTGTTTATTTGTATTCAGAGATTCTATAGAATCATTCAACAAATTACTTACCTTCCCTAGATTAGTAAGGCTTTCTAGTTGTTTATTTGTATTCAGAGATTCTATAGAATCATTCAACATATTACTTACCTTCCCTAGATTAGAAAGGCTTTCTAATATTTTGTATCTTTGTATTCAGAGATTCTATAGACTCTTTCAACAAATTACTTACCTTCCCTAGATTAGTAAGGCTTTCTAGTTGTTTATTTGTATTCAGAGATTCTATAGAATCATTCAACAAATTACTTACCTTCCCTAGATTAGTAAGGCTTTCTAGTTGTTTATTTGTATTCAGAGATTCTATAGAATCATTCAACAAATTACTTACCTTCCCTAGATTAGTAAGGCTTTCTAGTTGTTTATTTGTATTCAGAGATTCTATAGAATCATTCAACAAATTACTTACCTTCCCTAGATTAGTAAGGCTTTCTAGTTGTTTATTTGTATTCAGAGATTCTATAGAATCATTCAACATATTACTTACCTTCCCTAGATTAGTAAGGCTTTCTAGTTGTTTATTTGTATTCAGAGATTCTATAGAATCATTCAACAAATTACTTACCTTCCCTAGATTAGTAAGGCTTTCTAGTTGTTTATTTGTATTTAGAGTTTCTATAGAATCATTCAACATATTACTTACCTTCCCTAGATTAGTAAGGCTTTCTAATATTTTGTATCTTTGTATTCAGAGATTCTATAGACTCTTTCAACAAATTACTTACCTTCCCTAGATTAGTAAGGCTTTCTAGTTGTTTATTTGTATTCAGAGATTCTATAGAATCATTCAACAAATTACTTACCTTCCCTAGATTAGTAAGGCTTTCTAGTTGTTTATTTGTATTTAGAGTTTCTATAGAATCATTCAACATATTACTTACCTTCCCTAGATTAGTAAGGCTTTCTAATATTTTGTATCTTTGTATTCAGAGATTCTATAGACTCTTTCAACAAATTACTTACCTTCCCTAGATTAGTAAGGCTTTCTAGTTGTTTATTTGTATTCAGAGATTCTATAGAATCATTCAACAAATTACTTACCTCCCTAGATTAGTCAGGCTTTCTAATATTTTGTATCTTTGTATTCAGAGATTCTATAGACTCTTTCAACAAATTACTTACCTTCCCTAGATTAGTTAGGCTTTCTAGTTGTTTATTTGTATTCAGAGATTCTATAGAATCATTCAACAAATTACTTACCTTCCCTAGATTAGTATAAGGCTTTCTAGTTGTTTATTTGTATTTAGAGTTTCTAAAGAATCATTCAACATATTACTTACCTTCCCTAGATTAGTAAGGCTTTCTAATATTTTGTATCTTTGTATTCAGAGATTCTATAGACTCTTTCAACAAATTACTTACCTTCCTAGATTAGTAAGGCTTTCTAGTTGTTTATTTGTATTCAGAGATTCTATAGAATCATTCAACAAATTACTTACCTTCCCTAGATTAGTAAGGCTTTCTAGTTGTTTATTTGTATTCAGAGATTCTATAGAATCATTCAACATATTACTTACCTTCCCTAGATTAGTGAGGCTTTCTAGACAGGCTTTTGTCATAGTGAGTTGTAGAGCATCTGTAGATTTCACGTTTATCGTCATCCTAGGTGGTGGCATTTTCACCGTCTCCGTCTCTTCGTCATCCTCGATACCAGCCTCGATATCATCATTCTTCATCACCTATACGTTTAGATGATACAAATTATTTGAGCCGAGTCACGACAAAACCAACATAATGGGTTTGCGACCAGCATGGATCCAGACCAGCCTGCGCATCCGCGCAGTCTGATCAGGATCCATGCTGTTCGCTTACGAACTCTATTACAAGTAGAGAAACTGACAGCAAACAGCATGGATCCTGATCAAAGTGTGCGGATGCGCAGGCTGGTCTGGATCCATGCTGGTCGCAAACACACTATGTTGGTTTTGTCATGACGCGGCTCATTTTAGTTTAATTGTGTTGTTGGAAACACTTTATGTAAAGTTTCTTGCTAGCAGAAACAACAACTTATCCCTGACAGGGTTTGAACCTTCATGGTGGTCGGTCCACCGGACCAGCTTCCTTGAAAACAAACAAGTAATCACCAATTTCTCTGCTAAGTGATCAACGAATAATCCTACATGATTTCTGAATAGGCGGTGAATGACAAATAACAATAAGACTCAATTTCTGAGATCAAGTGGTATAGAGAAATTTCACCTCAAGCTAAGCTGGTAGACTTGCCTGTTTGAAAAGACAAGGTATTAATATGCTGAATAAGTAAACCAGAACTCCACGAGTCAGATGTGTTGCCTTTGTGAACAAATATAGTTTAGGAGAAATGGCCAGGACAAAAATGAAATATGAAAATTAAGGGCAATAACTCAAAAATAAGAAATGCAGAGCAGCAGTTTCTGTGCACTGCACTTTTTATCGATAAGATCTATCATCCTATGAAGTTTCATGTCCATAGCTTTTATACTTTAGGAGAAATGGCCTTGACAAAAATAAAGTATGAAAATTAACAAGGGCAATAACTCAACAAGAGGGCATGGCCCTGAAATCGCTCACCTGTATAAAAGCCCCTGGGCAAACCCCAATTTTAAACCAGGGACTTTTATTTGAACAAACTTGGTAGACAGCCATTAGAAGATGTTTCATGATAAAAATCTAAGCTCTAACTCCTGGGTTTTTAAAAAGAACATTTTTTAAACTTTTTACGAAATAGGAAAAAACAATGACCCCCACCCCAAGGGGCCAATTTTGACCCCAGGGCTTTATTTAAACAAACTTGGTAGACACTAACTAGAAAATACTTCTTGCTTATTATCTAAACTCTCGCTCTTTGGTTTTTAAAAGAAGATTTTTCAAGTTTTTACTCTATACGACCGAAATAATGAAAATCAATGACCCCCTGTGGCGGGCCAATTTTGACCTCAAAGCTTTTATTTGAACAAACTTGGTAGACATTCACTAGAAGATGTTTCATGCTTAATATCTAAGCTCTAGCTATTTGGGGTTTTTAAAAGAAGATTTTTTAAGTTTTTACTATATACAAATAAGGAAAATAATGACCCCTCGTGGCGGGGCCAATTTTGACCCCAGGGCATTTATTTGAACAAACTTGGTAGACACTGACTAGGTGATGTTTCATGCCTAATATTTAAGCTCTAGCTCTTGCGGTTTTTCTAAAAGAAAATATTTTAAGTTTTTACTAATACAAATAAGGAAAATCAATGACCCCCACCCAGGGCCGGGCCAATTTTAACCCCAGGGCATTTATTTGAACTTGGTAGACACTCACTGAAAAGATGTTTCATGCTTAATATTAAAGCTCTAGCTATTTGGGGTTTTTAAAAGAAGATTTTTTAAGTTTTTACTTTATACAAATAAGGAAAATCAATGACCCCCTGGGGCGGGGCCAATTTTGACCCCAGGGCATTTATTTGAACAAACTTGGTAGACACTGACTAGGTGATGTTTCATGCCAAATATTTAGCTCTAGCTCTTGTGGTTTTCTAAAAGAAGATATTTTAAGTTTTTCTTTCAGTTGCCATGGCAACCAGAGTTCTGCTTGGAATTAAATTCTTTGAACAATTTTTAAAGTTGACTACCAAGGAACATTCCTGTGAAGTTTGGATGAAATTGGCTAAGTGGTTTATGAGGAGATGTGGTTTAAAGTAAAAGTTTACGGACGGATGGACGCCGGAAGGACGGACAACGGACGAAAAGCGATCTCAAAAGCTCACCATGTCACTTTGTGACAGGTGAGCTAAACAAGAGGGCCATGATGGCTCCTGAGGTTGCTCACCTGTATATAGGCCCCCGAGCGGGGCCAGTTTAAAACCCCAGGGCTTCATTTGAACAAACTTGGAAGACACTCATTAGAAGATGTTTCACAATGTTTAAGTTTTTACTACACACATGTAATGAAAAAACAAAGATCTACACCCCCCATCCTCCTGCCCCCCAGCCCCCTGGCAAGGCCAATTTTAACCCAAGGGCTTTTATTTGAACAAACTTGGGTAGACATCCATAAGAAGATATTTCATGCTAAATATCTAAGCTCTAGCTCATTGGATTTTAAAGAAGATTTTTAAGTTTTTACTACACACATATAGTTAAAACAATGACACCCCTGGGGCGGGGCCAGTTTTGACCCCAGGCTTTTAATTTGAACAAACTTTGTAGACACTTACTAGAAGATGTTTTCATGCTTAATACTAAAACTCTAGCTATTTGGGTTCTTCAAAGAAGATTTTTTAAGTTTTACTATATGCATATAGGCAAAATCAATGACCCCCGGGGCGGGCCAATTTTGACGCCCCAGGGCTATTATTTGAACAAACTTTGTAGACACTCACTAGAAGATGTTTCATGCTTAATATCTAAACTCTAGCTATTTGGTTTTTTTTCAAAGAAGATTATTTAAAGTTTTTGCTATACACATATAAAGAAAATCAATGATCCCCAGGGCGGGGGGCCAATTTTGACCCCAGGGCTTTTATTTGAACAAACTTGGTAGGCACTCACTAGAAGATGTTTCATGCCAAATATCTAAGCTTTAAACCTCTTAGGGTTTTTTAAAAGAAGATATTTAAAGTTTTTTCTTTCGGTTGCCATGGCAACCAGAGTTCTGCATGGAATTAAATTCTTTGAACAATTTTTAAAGGTGACTACCAAAGGAACATTCCTGTGAAGTTTGGATGAAATTGGCTCAGTAGTTTATGAGGAGTTGTCATTTAAAGTAAAAGTTTACGGACGGACGACGGACGGACGAGGGAGAAAAGCGATCACAAAAGCTCACCCTGTCACTTTGTGACAGGTGAGCTAAAAACAAGAAATGCAGAGTACAGGTTCTTGTGCACTGCACTTCTTCTTAATGAGATCTATCTTCCTATGAAGTTTAAAGACAATACTGGTTTAATACTTTAGGAGAAATGGCCTGGACAAACATAAAGTATGATATTAACAAAGGGCAATAACTAAAAAAACAAGAGCCGGTTGAACCGGGTGATGCTCCCCGAATAGGTTTTGGACACAGGAAGGTATACCTTTGTTGTGTCAGAGTTACTGTCACAGACAAAAGTTAAAAGTGTAAAAACAACCCAAATATTGTGCACTCGACACATTGTCTAAAATGGGTGATCATTTTTGGTGAAATAGTTGTAAAATCTGATTTCAAATAACAAAGTTATGCGCCTGACATTATTTGCTGCAAGGTCATGCTGTGACTTTGACCTTCAACGTAGTGACCTATGAAAATGTTGCATGCGACACGTCAATTCAATATGGTGATCATCTCTGTGATAGTTGTTTTAAAGTCTGACCTTCCAGTAACAAAGTTTATGGGCCCGGGAACGATTTTGCTGCAAGGTCATACCGTGACCTTGACCTTTAACAAGGTAGCGAACCAAATGTTGCGCAGCGCACAATGTCTCATTGTTGGTATATTTCTGTGAAATTAGTTGTAAAATCGACTGTCAAATAATGAAGTTATGTGCCGGACACAATTTTGCATCATTGGTCATGCTGTGACTGACCTTCCAAGGTAGCGGAGCCAAATGTTGCGCATGAACGGCCATTTTAAATATGAGTCATCATTTCGGTAAAAATAGTTTTAAAAAAATCTGACTTCAAATAAGGAAGTTATGGGCCCGGACAAGATTTTTGCTGCAAGGTCATGCTGTGACCTTGACCGTTCAAGGAAGCGACCCACATGTTGCACGCGACACGTCGTCTTAATATGGTGAATTTCATTTCTGTGAAAATATTTTTAACAATCCGAACTTTCAAAATAATGAAGTTATGGACCCGGACACGATTTGGCTGGCAAAGGTCATACCGTGACGCTTGACCTTCAAGGTAGCGACGCCCAAAAAAAAATGTTGCGCAGCGACACGTTCGTCTCAATGGTGATCATTTCTTTTCTGTGAAAATATTTTTTAAAATTCCAATCTTCAAATAATGAAGTATGGGACCGGACACGATTATTATGCTTGCAAGGTCATAAAAACTCATTCGTGACCTTGATCCTTCAACCGGTAGTCGAGCCATAATGTTGCGCGCGACAGCGTCGTTAATATGGTGATCATTTCTTCTGTGTGAATATTTTTAAAATCGCAACTTCAAATAATGAAGTTATGGACCGGACCGATTTTGCTGGCAAGGTCATGCTGTGACCTTGACCTTTCAAGGTAGCGACCCAACATGTGCGCGCTGACACGTCGTCTCAATATGGTGATCATTTCTGTGAAATATCTTTTATAAAATCCAACTTCATATAAATGTAAGTTATGGACCGGACACGATTTTGCTGGCAAGGTCATTGCTGTGACCTTTGACCTTCAAGGTAGCGACGCCAAATGTTGCGCGCTACCACCTTCGTCTCAATTATGGTGATTCATTTCTGTGAATAATTTTAAAAATCCGACTTCAAATAACTAAATGCTTATGGGCCGGACACTGAATTCCGGGACGTACCTACGGTTTAACCGTACGGTAACGGACGGACGGACAGAACGGACAGGACGGCGGACAACCCGACGAGTATATGCCCCCGAAATTTTTCGGGTGAGCATAATAAGAAAAATGCAGAAGTACAGGTTCTCGTTGCACTGCACTCCTTCTTAATAGAGATCTATCATCCAATGAAGTTTTTATGTCCATAGCTTTTATAATCTTTAGGATAAAGATAATGGCCTGGCACAAAAATAAAGTATGAAA